TGCAAAAATCAACTTGGTTTCTCTTTACTTCCGTTTACTTTGATACCACAGTATTTTAAGAGGTTCAATTAATTGATCAAAAACACGCTAAAACAAACGAAATTTGAAGACAAAACAGTGAAATCCACTCAGCCTTCGCTTGTTCCCATTGGCCTCCATGACTTCCTGATCTTTTCAAACCGTATGGCGCATGCGTGAAGCGCGGAAGCAGGAAACATATGTTCGGTCTCAGTCTTTTTCGTCCGAGTTGGCAGTCAAATATCTCAACGTCGGGCGAAGAAAGATTCAAATATCCCCTCCCCCGGGAGAACAAGATCAGTCAAATGGCCTATCCCAGGGACAACAAAGACAATCAAATCCCCACCCCATGCCCTGCCCCCCTCCCCCCGCCGGCTTTACATTGATAGGTGCATAACGAAGGGGATGACGGAAAGGAAGATGGTTGTTCCCGAGAGCCTCGAATTGTTTGAGGCTGAATACCTTATTCTTACTAATTTTTTTGCGTACTTAATTTCGCAAATATTCAGCAGCCGGATTTCGCGAGTACTAATTTTCGCGATTTTGTCTTTGTTTTCAAGTTATCCTGAGCAGAGGACACTCGTCACAAATCAATGAGGCATATATATTTCAAAGCAAAATTGTAAACTTACAACTGCCCTACATAGAATCATGAACAATATACAAATAACTGGTCGCTGTGTATACTGTCTACGCAATGTGTATCATACGGTTCAGTGCTTAAAACGCAACTTGAGATGTTCAGTAAATGTGCACAGTTCAAAAAACACCCGGACTCAGAAAATTTTTAAAATTCTTATTGTTTTTTTTCGAAAATGGTATTAAATTTCGCGAAATTTAATACTCGCGAAAATTAGTAAGAATAAGATATATTTCTGAAATGTGGAAATTGGTTAATTCAGGCGGAGTGGTAAAACAGAAGTTTTATCAGAAAGAGATGTGTGACTCGGAAGGAGGAAGTACTCTTCACGTTAAAGCAGAGCAGATTTGGAAGCTCTTTTAGACCATTCACCGAACAGATTTTTCTTCCCCGAGCGAATAACCCAGAGACAACTTGGAGACGACTGGGGAAGAGTCAGTCGACGGACGACATCCGCTAATTGGACTGAGTATTTGCAGACCTGAACACCCCTTTATCTCCTAAATTTGCCGCTAAACATGCACTATCGAAGACGAACTTAACTTCAATGGCGGTAAGTATGTTTTAGCTTGTTTTTAAACTAGGAGGTATTTTGAAATCAGAGGGTGTTATAACACCCTCCTCGATCTCATTTAATATATGCTCATTTAATCATTTGATATATGTTAAAAATTTGCCCAATATCAAGTAATAAAATTAATATTATTATTATTATTATTATTATTATTGTCTCCTTAATTCTTCAGAGGATACTCAGCCTCATTTAATAAATGGTAATTATAAGTAATAGACACTTGGTTATCACCTTTACTTAGAAGTCGCTGGTAAAGATTATATCGAGCACGACGCCTTGCTCCAGCGACAAAGCCAATGATTAGCAGGGAAATTACAAGTACGCGAAGCATCTTGTTGCTAGTGCCGGGTTGAAAAGTGCCTGAAATATATAATAAACAAAAAATGAATCAGCCTTTTTTGACGCATTAGTCTGTTTTCAGGGGACTCTACTTCTTTTGTCGCTCTCTTTTAACCAAATTTCGGGTCTTAATTTCCTAATGCTTGCCCTCGAAATACTGCAGCTCACCAAGAATTTCAGTCGTTTAACACTCCTGGTCTTCGCCGTGAAATGTTCGAGACTATGAAATGAAAAGAACTTAACTTTTCTCTTCTTTTTGAACCCACAAAAACGACACATCACATCAAAGACGCTTTTTAAGTTTTTGAGATGACCTCAAACTTTGCCAAGACAAACGATTTGAAGTTCTTGATTTCTTATATTTTTCGATTTCCTAGAGCTTAGTTGACCCTAGTTGTTTAGTCTAAACAGAGGGTTGTCGAATACCGACGATACGACGCGAATCAACAGCTCATTCGCTATACAAAAATCATTCATTTGAGGAAAAAAATTATCGAGAGAAAAAATACGTCTCATTATAGAATAGGTGACAAGTAATTTTACTGATCGGAGGGAAACATGACTGAAAATGGTCCGAGAGGTTGATGAAGAAGTGCAGTAAAAACCTGCGACTAAGCAATTGGTTTTTTAAGAACCTTTTAGGCTAAAATTTGCCAGTTAGTGCAATTGTACAGGTTTTACCTAAGGAATGAGCCGAATACCACTAAATACTCTTAGCTACAACCGATTTAAGAACCTAAATAGCCTAAATTTGTGCTTTCAGTAATTACCATTTATATACTGAGAACCTGTTGAGGCTAAGTTGGCGAAAATGCAAATTCTTAATCGCGGGTTTTTACTGTATCGTTTGGCCACCTAGAAACAGAACCCTTGAAAGATCTACTTGGCTCTAGCATAAATGCGATTCCACTTAAAAAGAGACACACAAATCGAAACATCAGTAACTGTATAATAAGTAAACCTCACCTTCTGTCAGCGTGCGTCAGATTGACCGAAGAAGTAAACTGAACAGCAAATCTCTGAGTCGATCACCTTTAAAACACTTTTGAAACAAAAGGCGTTGTCTGTATTGGGTGATTAATTGTAGATGCACCCTGATGAGTGACATAAGCTTCAAAGATTTCTATTATTTTTAGTTAATTTATTTTACTAGAAAGGTCTTCGGCTTTGTTAAAATCATACCCTTAGGGCTGTTTTAAATTAGAAGTCATGAAATAGCGGCTGGTCTTTTTAAGTGATTTCAGAGGGATATGCTCCAATGCCGGAGCCGAATTTTCCAAAACTGTTCCTTACACACAAGGGCGGTTCAGATAGGGGACATATGCTTCAGGGGTTTCTATTCGGCCTTGTTAAAACCACTGATTTCAACGCGCGGCGTAGCGTAATTGTAATGGCGCCCTTTGCAGATTTTATTCTTTTGCGTGCAGTTATCTAGCCGATCAAAACGCCTTTTACAATCCCATACAAAACGTCTTGTGTGAGTAAATTGCTCTTCAAAAATTGGCCTTCAGTCAGCCCAGCTAATTAGGGGTCATGAATGGCGGCAGGCGTAGCCTTTTTAGTAAGTGGTTTAAGCTCCAGTGCCGGAGCAGAATTGTTCGAAACTATTCAGACAAATGATTGTTTTCAAAATGCACCTTTCCATTGTCTTGGATATAAAATACCGCCCTAAAATGTTTCTCATATGTATATTAAAAAGTTTAAAAAACGTAATACGTACAAGAAATGTTCAGACAGCGGACTTATGCTTCAGGGATTTCTATCAACTTTTGTTAGTTTACTTTACAAAGGTCTTCTGCTTTGTTAAAACCATTGATTTCAACGCGCGGCGTAGCATAATTGTAATGCCGCCCTTTGAAGAATTCACTCATTGCGTGAGGTTTTCTAGTCGATCAAAACACCTTGTACAATCCCATAGCCTTTACGTCGCTGTCCGTTAATATACTCTGTCAGTTAGAAGTCATGAATGGCGGCTGGCCTCTTTAAGCTGGGTGATATGCTCTAATCGAGCGGAATTCTCGAAACTGTTCAGGTAATTATTTAAAGAATCTTTCAATTACTTTGAACAGGTCACTGATTATTACGAATAATCTACTGTTCCACTTCATGGCCAATGGCTACAATAATGACTTGCTGCATGGTTCTGGAATAATGGAATTAATTAGGATGCATTTAATCGCTTCTCGGCCTTCTTGAAAACAATAACCTTGCGCTACGCGCTCGGTTCTTACCTGCGGGGTGAATGCGTGTTTGTTATCAAAGATGTGCAAGAACAAAAACCCCAATATAGGGAATCAATGGGCTGCCAACTTCGTGATGGAGTGGTTTAATATTTTGGATCAGGAGTGTCAGGAGCAGATTATCGTCTGGAGAGTGTAGCTACTCCTTAATCCGGTGGAATGGGATAGAGATATATGTTGTAGTTGATTTTTTGTCTCAGGTAATTTTTATTTTTCCTTTGTTGCAACTTCATTAGCATACATTACCATACCCAAAAACAAAAGAAAAACAAAAATTACCTAAGATAAAAAATTAACTCAAACATATATATCCTGTCATTTGAAATTATATGATCGTCTAGGTGAAATGGTGTTTTTCTGAAAAAATAAACTCCGTACAAGAATGCCTCTCTCCTCCATAGAGGCTTTAGCTGGGTAATAGCAATAATCGTAAAATAACAAGGGCGCGACACAAACTCGGTGACCTCTGCGGAGGTCAAAGCCAAATTAGAGTCAGGAGGCCATGGTCTTCATTTTCGTTCCAAGTCTGTGCGTAAAATATTCGTATGCGAACAGAGGTTTTGTCGAATACGGACTGTATTCGTTCAGTGTTCGTCCCGCTACGCGTAAACGATAAGCCGACGCTTTCAAAAATGTCCACCGATTCAAAGAATTTGCACTGTCTGCCTGGAACCCCGTGCAAACGAACACAACATTTTAGGCCAACAGTTCCCAACATTGTTGGATGTTACGCGTTGCGTCCATTTGCACACCCTGTTGCATGTTGTTGCGTGTTGTTGGGAGTTATTGCGCAAAGTTCGAAAACGGTCAAACTTTTCAGCCGGCAACTCCCACCTTTTCTTTTTTTGTTCCGTGATCGCCGAAGCTTAGCGCAACAACCTTCAGGGCAATGAACAGAGTAAATACGTGCTTATTGTTTTAAACGGAACAAAAATACAGATAATTTTCTTTCGTTATTAAAACTTAGAATGTGTTTGCCGGTTGCTACAATTAGTTGCTCGATTTTCTTTTCACTCCTTGTTTTCGGGTAAACGCTGGCGGGACTGAAATGAATCAAACGGAGGGTTATTGCTTAAGCATCGACAAGAACCCTTAGGTAAAGAGACTGATAGCATGTTTTCGCTTGATCAATTAAGTCATGCATCGCATGGCTCAACAACAACAGCAATTTGTTTATTATTAAAAGATAAAGTTCTAGCTCAATATTGAATGCCCAATATTTAGGTGGGACAAGACAAGCCAGAGCTGTGGTTGCAATTAAGTGTGTAATCTGATGGTTTAAAGCATATTTTTTCAAGTTTCCCATCTCATGTGTGATTTTGGCGTCTCGCCTTAGTTTGTTTCAGCATTTTCAAAATCGATAAGTAATGCCAGAGTCATTCACAAATTCAAGGAAACTTGTATTCTGTAAAGTCTGTAAAAGCAACCATTGTAAGATAACGCTCCACGCAAACGGACGCAACATTATTGGAGGAGAGTAAACTTCCACCCAAAACTCCCCACACCTTGTGTTGTTGGCGTTTGAAAGAAATGAATTAATCTAACTAGAGTAACTGCCACAGACCTCTTTAGCTTGTATGTTTTGTGATCTCAATAGAAGTCATGTGATAATACTCTTGAGAACTGTTTCTTCCAAATTTCGTCTTGGTCACGTACATATATATGAACTATAATTTATAAAAAGACAAAAGGTGAAGTTCCCTTATATTTTAAGCTATTAAAGCGGGCAAGACAACCGGAGCTGTGGTTGGAATAAAGTTTATTATCTGATGGCCTTAAGCATATTTTTAAGTTTCACATCTAATGTGTGATATTTCAGCATTTTCTAAATCAATATATACCGTATTTCTTTAAAATGCAAGAGTCTTTCACAAATTCAAGGAAACTTGTATTCTGTAAAAGCAACTATGTAAGATAAAGCCCGATGCAAACGGACGCAACATTGTTGGCCAAACTTTACTCCGAAGATTGTTATAATTAATTGTGTGATGTTACATGTTGCGCCCGTTTGCACAGCCTGTTGTATGAGTTGTTGCGAGTTGTTGGGAGTTGTTGCGTGCATTTATAAACATGTAGCTTAACCATAGCTGAATTATTAAAATAGCGTTTCTGTGAAAGCTAAGCAATTTATATTCAGCAGCCAGGTGAACGCCTTTTGCTTAAGCTGGTCACGGTAATTAATAGATCGAGATATTTGTTCATTGATCGAGCGCAGTAAACTAAACAAAACGTCTTGTGTGCTGATTGCTTTTAAAAAATTAGCCTTGCGTACGTCCTTGTCCCTCACTAGCTGTTAATTAGAAGTCAAGAATAGCGGCCGGCCTCTCTAAGGATCAGATATTCTCTAATCGGGCGGAATTTCTCGAAGCTGTTCAAGTGATTATTTAATGTACCTCTCCATTATTTTGAACAAGTTTTTTTTTATTTTGAAGGAACAGAAGAGCAGGTCACTGATTATTCCGAACAATAACTTACTGTTCCACTTCATGATCACTGAGTGGCTAATGTGATCTGCTGGCCGACCCGCGTCATATGGGCTCAGCACATAAGGCAAATAGCCGAGGACGACTGGGAACCAGGCTATATAAAAGCTAAGAGCAAGTACATCACTTGGGAAAAGACAACACAAAACGTCTTATGATTTTAAACTTCCGTCCCGTCGCAACTTGTCGAACTCGTTGAGAGGGCTGAGTTCAATCAGATTCATGGTCACCTGGTTAGTAAAATGACTTTTACCTAGTTGCGCAGTCTGCTTATAGAAGAAATCACAGAACTGAAACAGCACTCCTGAAAGTAATGAAGGATATTCTGTTAAATAATCATGGACAAGCAGCACGTTACTATCCTTGTATTGCTTGATCTCAGTGCTGCTTTCGATACCGTTGATTACAGCATTCTTCTCGACAGATTATCGTCAAAACTTGGTTTGAAAGGCACTGTCCTTAACTGGTTCCAATGTTCTTAGTTTGGCAGTCCCCAGCGAGTCTTTGTTCGGAGAGCTGTATCTGATAAGTTTGACCTGCGGTATGGTGTTCCTCAGGGCTCGGGTCTTGACCCACTTGTTTTTACAGTTTATGCAAGCGCACTGTTTGATGTCGTCGAAAAGCACCTCCTAACTGTTCATTGTTATGCCGATGACTCTCAGTTATACATCTCGTTTAGTTCCAAGGCGCACTCTGGCCATAGGCTGATTCGGTTGCTTCTATAGAACATTGCATTCAAGACAGGCAGCTAGTGGATGTCTCAAGTTGCTCATGAATGGTGCTAAAACACTGAGAACGTCTTTTGATCGACACCAGACAGCAACTCGCTAAAGTCACAATTGATAGCATAACTGCTGGACACTCTTTCATTGCTCCACAATCTCCCGTTCGGAATCTGGGCGTGTGGTGAGATTCTAACCTATCAATGGTGATCACGTAGCGAAAACAAGCTCTGGAGCATTCTGTTATTTATACAATATCAGGAGGATAACGAAATATCTTAGAAAAGAATGTATACTGAAACTCTAATCTAATACATGCCTTTATTTCTAGCCGCCTTGACTGTTCTAATAGCCTGTTATACGGCTTACTGGCGCGCTACATTCAGAAATTGCAAAGGGTCAAGCTGGAGAAGCACGAGAGCTGGAAACAAACGAGAGGCGAGAGAGGGGGATGATGGGAACGAGCGCAGAGCGCGAGCGGGGAATGATGGGACGGAAAAAAAGAAAGGTACTTTTTCCCCTTCCCATCACTCCTTTCGACCTTGTTTTCCTTAATAATTATCTCAAATATCCCCAAAAATTGATTGCGAACGACTGGGGACGAAGTAGTAGCTTGAACGTAAACATTGAAGAAATGATTGATTAATTAATTTGTCGTTTGTCGGTGCGTCTGAAAATTGACGGGTTTAAGCCCTGACAGCGAGGGCGGCGAAAAACTTTCACTACGCTGTTCCAAACCTCACTTCTCTTATCCCATCTCGTTCAATTCTTCAAATGTTTGGCGAATTTTTCGGTGCATTTGAATTTTAAAGGACTGTATTAGTTCAGAAAAATAAAAATGTTGTCTTAATGTGTTCGCATCGATTTCCCCTAAAACGTGACATTTGGAAATTTCGTGTCGTAATCTTGTGTGCAATGATATCGACGGCAAAAAAAAAAAAAAAAAAAAAAAATTACAAAAAGCTACGTATCAGTGCACGTGCAAAGTTGTTATTGTTTAAAAGCTAACAGCCTTTACCCTTTCCCGTTGCTGTCGTCCTGAACGTATGGTCCGATCGATCGTTTAACGCCTATTTTAGTCGACGCCTTTCCTCCGATAGATAATTTTAATAAATTGTTTCAACAAACATCCGAGACCATTAATATTTTTTGGCTAGTGCAATATGCGACAATCTAATGTTGAGCTTGTTTGCATATTCGGGATTTTAATGTGAGAAATTTCCACGCATTGGAATATTTAAACGAGCGCATCATTCCCAAGTATATTCAAGTGCGGCTATTTTTTTGTAAAAGTTTAGCCTTACAGTTTACCATTACTTCCTGTGAAATCAAAAAATTTATCCATCACGGCCTTTTAACATCAAATCAAAGTTCACGTTCTAAAAGAATCATCAGTTCCAGTTTTTCTTTTATGTCTTCGAAGATATACAAGGTAAAATCACTGAAGTGTACTGGACGAGAGCCAAGGCTAATCTATAGCTTTTCAGTATAAATGATGCCCCGTAGTCGAAGCGTAGAAGCAACAAAGCGAGAAGGTAAGAATAATTTTTTTGAGAACCAACTAAATTAAATAAATTGCCTCGTATGAAGCGTGGATCGGTCTGTATACAGATAAAATGCTGTCTCTTCCACTGTGAACTTTCGTTTGCGTTATCCGTATTTCAGAAGCGAAGACTGAAGGTTATATAATGTATTTTCACATTCCCTATCATTCATCTTCATTCTGTCGAGGATTTATAAATTTTGCAATGGATATGTTTATTATTTTCACTTTTCAAAGCTGAAGTACATAATCGTGCACCTGTCGGAACTTCGGAATTATCCGAAACACATCGGTGGCCATCGTTGAAAGTTCGCCTTCTCCGAAGAATTTCGAAGACCATCTGTGATCGCGGGCGTTCGATTGTTGTTTTCCAAGGATGAGAAGTGGCATGCAGTATTGCATGTTTTCAGTCTCTGGACGCCTGTCTCTGTAAATACTAAGTTAAAAATGTCTCAAGTAATTTTATACCTGTTGACTGAGCTTTCAAGAAAGCTTAAGCAACTGATGTGCGGACCTGATGCAAGATCGGGTGTAAAACAAGAAGCTAATGGAACCGATGTTCTTGATGGCACAGCTGACCCGGCAGCCGGCAAAAGAGAAGCATTTGGGCGATCTCGCCTTCCAACTATGGTGAATGTTGATGGCTTTGGGCAGTGTATTGCTGTTTTAACAAGCGGTGGAGATGCACAGGGTAGGAAAAAATATCTTATTCCTGCAGATTTGTTGAAAGATTTGTTTTCGAGCTCACAAATTAATTAAAAATATGAGCGTCGCTGCATGTTTGGTCCAGTCAATATGCGACTGTTCAAGTGTACGTCCTCTTCAAATAAACAGCATTCTTTTAGCTCATACTGACGGGAACACAGAGCACGGGGTATTGGTTATAACAATTTATTTCTTATATTTGAATTTTGTGTTATTGCCATTTAAATAAGTAATGATCAAGGAAGAAAGACTAAACAGCTTGTACCGGAAGGTTTGTTTAATAAAATTATGACCTGCCACTTAGTTCCGAGTTCCTCTCAGTTGCTTTCGCTGTTTTGAATTTCTCATCACGAGAGAATTATTTTGGACTTTTTGACATAAACGTTACGTTGTATACGTCTGTTTTAAAGGGGCCGTTCCACATTTTGCTTCTGTTGATGCTATTTAGCTCTATTTGTTCAAACATACGTTAGTTTAGTCTGTCTCAATAATGCAAATTTATGTGCAGTATATTTTTAGCTACAAAATGTAACGTCACAAATTATCAAGCTACCTAAAATATTAATAAATTCATGTCGAAACTTAAAACATAGTTTAAAATATCACTTTTTGAGATATAATGGTCAAAATCTGTATCATATAAGGAAATCAAATTCTAATATCATCTGATCATATTATAATCAGGTATGAATGCAGCTATCAGAGCTGTGGTGCGAATGGGACTTTACGCAGGAGCCAGAGTCTTCACTGTATGGGAGGTATGTGAATTCTGAGGCTGGCCAGTTATTCAAGCATTGTCAATGTCATTATCGATATCACCTGCACCAGCATCATCACAGATAAGGGTGTGCTCCAGCAGTAGCTGGTAGCCCCATGCACCTTACTTTTGCTTGTCAGTGACAAGGCAATTCTATTATTATTATTTTTTCAATCAAATGCTGGGTACCCTGGGTTTCACAAGCTCAAAGCACAGTACTCTCTTCAAGTTTTCTTTGCATTTATTAATACTCACTGTTGTCATTGTCTTGTCATAGCCATCATCATCATCACATCACCATCACCATCATCATCATCATCATCATCATCATCATCATCATCATCATCATCATCATTATGATCATCGCTGTTACCATCATGGTTATAGTCATTGTTATTATCATCATCACTGTCATCAGGTGCTATCACCATGTCCATCATCATCATCATCATCATCATTATCATCATCATCATCATCTTCATCATAGTCGTCATCATTATCATCAACATTGTCATTGTTATCATCATCAACATGATTATCACTATCACAGTTACAATCATTTTCACTATTATTATGATCATGCCCGTCATTACCATATGATCATGGCCATCATCACTGTCATCAGGTGTCATCACCATGTCCATTGTCATCATCATCATCATCATCATCATCATCATCATCATCATCATCATCATCATTATCCTCATGATTATCACTATCATAGTTACAATCATTTTCACTATTATTATGATCATGGCCATCATTACTGGTGACCATACAGTACTACATGTGTAGACCATTAAAGCATTCTCTCCCTGGAAACTTTTCTTTCGTTGGCTGATGCCTTTATGGCACCCTGACACGAAAATAAAGTTGTCAATTGTTTGTTGTTACCAGTTTGTACCTACCTACAACTGTAACCTACCAATGTACAGAGTAATCTTGTTGTTGTTTTATATATCACAGGGATACCAAGGTCTTGTTGATGGCGGCGACAATATCAAGGAAGTTCAGTGGGAAGAAATGTCTGGAATTATTGAATTGGTATGAATCAGTCCAAGACTAATTTAAATTCCCCCTGGCAGTTTTAATTAATGATGGCCATTGTTAAATACTTAACATTGCCCTTTGTACCAATATTATGGAGTGCCTGCGTCAACAATCAAATGTCAAAATGCTTTGTTCTAAGCAACACTGTGCTTTCAAGTTTCATGTGATTAATGGTCAAAACATGTATGATCAGATTATGAGTGATAAAATGTCTAAACGCGTAAATCAGATTACGAGTGATGGAAGATGTCTAAACACGCGTGATCAGATTGTTTTAGGGGTGGCGAATGGTAAAATCCGAGACTCGCCGAGACGCTGAGATCCTAGTTAGAAATCCGAGCCCGAGGCTCTTTGGTAAAAAGTTTCGAGACTCAAAAAAAGTAAAAACAAACCATGCCAAAACGAGACTTCGAGACTTCCGAGATTTTGAGATCCTGCCAAAATTTTCCACGACCCACGTTTTTTGTGGTACCATTCGCCACCCCTTGTTTTCTGTGTGCATTCTATTCATTCTTAGTGGAAGTCCAAATGAAGCTAGCTATATAATAAGTGCTGTGCATGTGAATAGTAACCTGGAGATAAGGAATTCTCTTGTTGCTCATAATAGTCATTGATTTCTGGCAATAATATTGTATAATGTCTACTTGCAGGGCTGTCATTAAGAGGTGCGGGCTACGGTTTTTCCCTGGCTACTATAAATGTGGCCTCCAGCTTCTTTCATAGGAAAATGGAAAAAAAAACAACCAAAAGAAATCCCTAGAATTTTTGATTCCTGGCCCACTTGTTGTATTTACCCGGCAACTTGAAATCTTAGTGACATCCCTGTACTTGACTTAAAATAATAAAACACACAGTGCTCAACAAAATAATATATTTCCATGTGGCATCGATGTTTTACATTTCTAGGGTGGGACAGTGATTGGCAGCGCCAGATGCCAGGATTTCAGAAACCGATGGGGACGTCTGAAAGCGGCAAAAAACATGGTAACATTGGGAATTACCAATTTGGTAAGTGGAAGGATGATGTGTTTTAACTGATGCACTATTTTTTTGTCTGGTGCTTCAAAAGCATGTTTAATTTGTGATTACTCCACAGTTCTAAGATGTTGACTATGATTATGGCAGTTGCATGTGCACCATGTGGGATTAAGATAATTGAATGCTTTTCATGGAGGTTAGCCTCAAGATCGAGTTTCCCAATGTTGTTTATACAGTCAAACTTGGTCACCCGTTATGGAGAGGATTGACATGTCAATAACTTGTTGCAACTAGTTATTTGATCTTTGGTATACTGTGTAACAGCTAAATCAGTATGTAATGCATGATCATTTTTTTTTTCTAATTTAGGTTGTCATTGGAGGAGACGGTAGCTTAACAGGTGCTAATTTGTTTAGGCAGGAGTGGCCAGAGCTTGTGAAAGAACTAGTGGACACTGGTAATTTATATTAGTTACACATAAAATAAATAAAACTAATGAAATATTTCTTATTTAGTTACAGATGTATGACCTATCACTGGAGATCAGTATTTGGGAGCAAATTTTGAAACACACAAAACAACAACTTAAACACATTCACTGGGACATTAATAATAATCTTCATCATAATTCATCGGCTTTATCCTCTTGACACAGTAACATTCCAGAAACATTTCTGGTGTTGGCAGGTTTCTTAAACCCAGAAGGTTATTAAACTGGGGTGGGGGAGACTAAGTCAGTAAATATACATCTGTTAATTTTACTTGATTTCAGCTGATAATTTTTAATTTATGATCTTAATTTTATGTATAAATAATAATAATAATAAATTAATAAATAAGTATGAATTAATTTATTGGACTTTTATGAATGACCTTCGCAGGTGCAGTTTCCAAAGAAGTAGCAAGCAAAAACAATTCTCTCAACATTGTTGGAATGGTACGATCTGATTATTTTTTACTTGCAAGTATATAATTATACTTCTGTATAAAATGTTCTCTTTTTTTGTTTTAAACTTAAACTATTTTTTTACCATCTGATGACATTCAACATAAATTGAACAAGAGGAAATAAAATTTAACCAAAGGTTAAATCTTAAAGGCAACGGTAAATTAACACTTAACTTCTAGTTGTATAACTCAATAAATTGACTAATTCATAGTGCAAATGAAAAGTACAGTTAAGCCCTGGTTTACAAACACCCACTTAATACAGACACCTCATTATTGCGGACAGTTTGAACTGTCCCCAAGGAAAGAAATCCCTTACATCTTCTCTAAATTCAACCCTGCTTAAGACGGACACCCTATTAAATACACTGGATACTTTCTATGGTCCACTCAATTCGCATAATTTAGTAACAAGGCTTGACTGTAGTTATAGTACTGTATCAATTTTATGATTAAAATGTAGCAATATTAATAATATTTAAAATTGTGATCATGATTTTTTTTTTCAAAATTGATTCGTGTAGGTTGGCTCCATTGACAATGATTTCTGTGGCACGGACATGACCATTGGGGCTGATACTGCTCTCCATAGGATCTTTGAGTCTGTTGACGCCATCATGACAACGGCGTCCAGGTTAGAACAATGAAAGTTGTTTCATGATGGCAGACATGTTATTAAAGTTGAAAATATATCCTTTGAGATATGTCACTTGACCTTGTCAAAGTGTTAGTAGGGATGGAAATTGAAAATCAAGTCCTCTTCATCAACTGTCTGTTGTAAATTAATACAGATTTTTATTGTTATAATAAGGAATTATTTCAGGTGTCGTTATTAGATTGATTTTTGTTTCGTGTCAGAAAGTGTCAAAATTAATTAACACTTACAATATTATTCTGCATTTATTTAATAGTTAGTGACACAGTTTAGAAAAGTTCACTCAAGGGTGTCAATTAATGTATGTTCAAATACCGTCAATCCTCTATTAAGCCTCCCCTCTAAAATAAGCCCCCTCCCTCTAATAAGACCCCCCCCCCTATTCAGGGAAGAAAGTTAATAAGCCCCCTCTCTATGAATCCCCCCCCCCCCTTCTCCCCTGATTATTCTTTACTAATAAATGAGAGACTGTATTAATCAATCACAACTGTAAAACTTTGTGTGGACTATTCCAAGATGGTTTATTTACCAACTGGAAGTTCGGATTTGATACTAATCCTTGGCTGTATGACCTCCAACCTTCTTTTTCTTGAGCTTCTCTACTTTGTACTTTCTAGTTCTTTATGGAGAACTGATACCATCATCTTTTCTAAAGTAAATGGGCTTGAAATCAATTAGCCCTCTAGGGAGACTTAATAGAGGATTTACGGTATGTTAAATAAATTTAAATGCAGTGGGACCTCAATTTAACGAACCTCTATACAACAAAGTCCTCGGAATAACGAAAGCTACTCCTTGCGCCAGCAGTAGTAACATAAAGGAAAAGAACCTAGATATAGCGAAATCTCGTTATAGCAAACATATTTTGTCAGGCTCTTGGGCCTTCATTAAATCGAGGTTCCATTGTACAGTATTTATATAAAACTCCCTTGTAAAAATTTATTAGCGATCGCGCCGCGATGACCGCGATCGCGGCGCGATTTAGATTAATCGCGCCCGCGATAGCGACGCGGTGATCGCGATCGCGGCGAGGTTATAGCGATCGCGACGCGGTGATCGCGATCGCGGCGCGATGATTTTGATCGCGGCGCGATATCAGCGATCGCGATGCAATTGAAGTAAATCGCGCTTGCAATAGCGACGCGATGATCGCGATCGCGGCGAAGTTATAGCGATCTCAACGCGATGATCGTGATCGCGGGAAGATGATCGCGATCGCGGCGCAATTTTGGTGTGGGCAACCACGATCTATAAGGTCAAACGTTTTTTCCCCAACGCAGTGAGTGCTTTGCGGAGGTTTCTCGTGACAGATGGTCAAAACACGCGTAATCAGATTATGAGGTGTAGTCTGTCGAAACGTGCGTGATCAAACTGTTCCATTCATTCCTAGTGGAACTCCAACCAAATGCTGGCTACGTACATGCGACTCATGCGTAATAACAACCTGGACACTAGGATTGGGGGCTCCTCTTGTCACCTGTAACAAATCCTATAAATTATTCACTTTCATGTTCTGTAAATTATTGTCACATTATACATATTTTTCTTTTCTTTTTTCAGCCACCAAAGAACATTTGTACTGGAAGTTATGGGCCGGCACTGTGGGTGAGTACAGTATCTAAATTTGCCAGTTTAAATGTTTTAAAAATAATTAATTCACTTCTTTTTCTATCAATTCCAGTTATGTATTTTGAAAATCTGGCATAAAAATGTTGACATTCTAACACTGTACCCTACACAGTTCCTCATATCTCCTGTATGTTGGTTTAACCTTTTTTGTCTTCAATCTTGCTTCTTTTTACAGTTATCTGGCTCTTGTAACTGGATTAGGAGTTGGAGCAGATTATGTAAGTGTATGATGCAATAATTACATGTAGCACTTTAGTGCTTAGTAGTCGGGGTTCAAAAAAGTCCTGCTGGTCGTCCTGGACAAGTAGATTTTCTTGCTGGGCAAGTAACTTTTTAAGATTACTTATGCCAAATAGGTAAGATTCCAGGCAAGTCCCTCTAGCAAAATCTTAACTACAATGTAAGACATGCAAGAAGTGGTCTCAGGCATGCTGTAATTAAAGTTTTTGTATGAGCTCTGATTAATGCTTAAAGTAAGTATTCTGATGATTCAGACTACAACAGATACAGGCCAGGCGGAGGTCACGGGTTCGAATCCCGTTGAAGCCCTGATTTTTTTTTCAGGCTTCTTCTTTCCAATTGTTTAAATTTGAAAATTTACTGCGATGATCATTCTTCACTTTCAGATACAGGCCAGTTTTAAATTAATGTGTTTGTGCTGTGCATTGCAGGTTTTTATTCCCGAGTGGCCTGTTGCAGAGGGCTGGGAGGACAGGATGTGTAACCATCTTAGAAAGGTGAGCTCATCATTTTACAAACCTGAAAATGCTAGTACCTTTTGATAACTGTCTTATTGCCTTGGCAAAAGTGAAGTCCATCCACTAACACTACTTGAAGACCCTCGGAGATATATGGAAGTCAGGTTAAAATTATGTAACCACAGCTGATAATTTCCTTTCCCAGCCCTAACTCAGGATCAATACGGCTAGGAGGCAAAGGAAGTTGGGTCAGTTCTTGCCACGCTGACTTCATAAGCGTACTATAATATCTTCTTTTGCAGTCCCAATTCCAGAAACCTAGCCTAGCTGTTCAGTTCTCCACCCACTAACTGCATAATTATAACCAGCGACTTGAATTCTTAGGCTGTGTCCACGCTATACTGGATATAGCTTTTGTGCCACTTAGGAAATCGTGCCTGATAGGGCTTTTGTTCACACACAAGAATGATGACATTTTCGGCACAACAGGGACCTTAAGATCTCGGCGACGGCAACGGGAACGCCACAAAAGCAATAGGTTTAATTTGCAAAACAACAATTTTGCACGCGCATCACGCTTTTTTGTACATTTCTTGCCATAACTGCACGACTACGACGTGAAAATGCCTAATTTCAACTAATGTCCAGAGGAAGTACACAAGCGACGACGAAATTTCCTCTCTCTTTATGAACTTGGATATAGTTCTTACGAATTCAACTGTAGGAGGGTTCGCCTACATTTGACAAAGTTAGTGACTTAGAGTAATCGCGATGAAGATTGAAAAGACGCGAATTCACTTTTTCAGCTACGTTTTCTCTGCCGTCGCCGTCCTCGGATCTTAAGGTCCCTAATTTCTGTGACGGACCAAAGCTGTGCTACGTCAATCTCAAAAGTGGAGCGTCACCGGCATATTGGACAGGCCTCGTGTCAAACTTTAGAGCAGTGTGGTCACCTATTCGGACTGTTACATGTATTCAAAGTAGACAGACTGCAAATTATCTTAGTTGCTAAAAAATATATATCTACGTGTCGCAACTGTTCATCAGTAGGATGCCTAAAATGCGTGCAATTCCACAATTGGTTTCGGCTCCATTAAATCCTATACCAATTGCAGAACATTTTAGGAGGAGCCACCCACCATGTGAGCACAGTCACGGACAATGTACAAGTGAGGAAAATAACGCAAAGTAAAATTAAGACGTTAATAAACGAACTAAATGTACACGTCAATTAAATAAATAAACAAATAATGCGCGCGCTCAAAATAAAATTGTACGCGCACACGTACCGAGATACATCTGAAATACAACACTATGCAATAAATAAGTAATGTAAGGATACGATGGTGCAATTTAAGCCTGGATTGCTAATCTCATCTCCCGCAGGGCTGCACCATACTTCTCGACGATAAGACCATGGCGAGTGAAGAATTTATTAATTTATGTTACTTACATACATGTGGTGACAATTTGTCCAAACATTTTGTCAAAATCATGGCCCTAGATTGCGGTTGACGTGCATTGCTCAGGCTCCCTAACATCCTTTAGTGATGATCTTTTCTGTATTGCATGTAAGGTGAGGGACAGTGGTCGTCGCTTGTGCATTGTTATTGTAGCAGAAGGAGCTCAAGATGATGCTGGCAATCCAGTCACGTCCTATCATATCCGTGAGGTAAGAAGACTTGTCATAACGAAACTCCCCAGTAAACTGTCTGCCATCATAAAGTTACGGTCGAACTCGTACCAACGGCCACCTTTCCATAATGGCCACCTCTCTACAAAGGCTACCTTTTTCGGTGGACAGTCCATACACTGCACATTGACTCTTGTTTAAACTCTCTACAGCGGCCCTTGTCATCTTTATAACATCCACTTTCTTCTGTACCCAAGGTCGCTATTGAAGTAGAGGTTCAACTGTTTTGACTACGCTCTTTTTTTTCTTAAAGAATGTATTTTATAAGAATATCGAGGCTGAAATTTGCAAAATTTGTAGAATATCTTAAGAATAAACCCGACGCTGAGATTTCGAAAAGGATGATTATTTTGAGCGATGAAAATCTAAGAAATATTTTTGTAACGTAGCCGTATAAAACTATTGCTTCCTCCCATGGCAAAAATGCCCAACAAAACGAAGAAACTTGCATTGGTTATAACCAAGTTTTCATTACTAATGACAGTTCAAAGCACTCGGATGAAATTCAGGCTGTTGAAGCTAATGATATGAAAATGGTTTTTTATTCTCTTGTAAATAAAACTCATTTTCACAAGAACGGTTTTGTACTTCGGCTCGTTTTTTGAACTCGAAAATGACTTATTATTTTTTCCCATGAACCTGAATTTCCCGTAACTCAACCCTTCTATATCATTGTTGTTCAAGGTCGTTCTGGGTGCACAGAAAAACAAAAAATGAAAGGTTTCATCCTTCGAATCACTTGATGATATTACAGCGATTAAGCATCGCGTTTACGGCAAACAGCAACTAAAAAAGCATGAATTTGCACCACGTGACCAAGTGTCCCCTTTACTAATCGTTTTCTGTTCATTATAACAACACGGCGAAAATCGGTAGATTCACGCCCATTCTACCCATAAGAATTGTTTAAGCTGTTTCGCATTTTGAAATTTTCTCAACTTGAATCTCACGTTTGTCGCTTGCCGTAAGCGCGATGCTTGATCCCTATATTATGATATTATAATCAGAGTCTTTTCACTTCAACGTCCTCCTTAGCTAATCAAAACAAGGCTTCAACATGACACACGCGTAACCATTCTGGGACATGTTCAGAGGGGTGGAGCTCCATCTGCATTTGATAGAATCTTGGTGAGTGAATGCTCCTTAATTAATTCTTCCTCAGTCTACGTTCATACGGCAACGGACCAATTTTTGAAAGTTTTTTGAATGTCAGTTTTACTTAAGTAGACCCTGTTATGTGTTCTTGCATGAGTTGCACGAATTTATGTGGGGCCACTCACGCGCATTACACATGGCTTACAAAGTATTATGGGTTGTATCCTTCCCACAATGCTCTTGAGGTCCCACGTAGCTTTCACCTGTTAATGCTCAGAATTGATTGCAGTTTCCTCTCTTTGTACTCTCTATAGTCTTGTCGTATGGGAGCTGAAGCTGCTCTAGCTGTCCTGGATGCTTCAGCTAAGACTGCTCCTTGCGTTATCTGTCTTGATGGTAACAAGATTACCAAGAGGCCGCTGATGGAGTGCGTGGAAACGGTAACACTTTTTTTCATGAATATAGAATCAAATTCTTCTTTGATTTTCTATGTTAAAGGAAGACGAAGATTTGGTTTTATCTTGTTAGAACTTGCGTTAAGTTTCTGGACATCATTTTTAATGCAGACTCTTGCAGTAAAAGAAGCAACCAAGGCAAAAGATTTTGAGAAAGTCGTGGGACTCAGAGGCAGGTACGTGCTGAATGATTACACCCAATGTGAAAGGATATTTGCCTCTTTTCATATTGCCTAGTAGACTACGAGTAGTCCCCCATTTTTCCTCAGGGATAGTAGAGGGAGCGAAACGCGAGCGCCAGTGAAAATCACCCCACGCGAGAAAGGCGAGACGCGTTGTTGCCTCTTCTCGCGTGGGGTGATTTTCACGCGCGCTCGCGTTTGGCTCCCTCTACTATCCCTGAGGAAAAATGGGGACTACTCGTAGTCCAATTGCCTAGTATAATACACCTTGTTTGCCCCCCTCCCCTCCCCCCTAAAAAAACGTAAGCATTGACTGCAATTTCTCTTTGGGTGACTGTAATATCCGGGAGAAAATGGAATGAATTGGAAATTCGCGGTGCAGGTTGAGGGGACAAGAAAAAGTCTCAACAAGAACGCTCTTAAAAGTGGTAAGTCTCGCTTGCCGCTTGGAGATTAGCTAAGAAGTAAGGAGGCAATTAAGTTTACTCGAAACAGGATTTCCTCGCTAAGAGTATTTCACGTCCTACTTCATGGACGGTCGAGTATCTTTCAGGATATTTACTTGACGATTTGTTTCTGAACTGATTGAGTAAGCTCTGGCCGCGGCTTACATAAGACGCGACAGGAACCATTTATACAAGTACGATTTACGTAAGACGCGAACTGTTCATATAAATAGTTTTTTGGTGCCTTGCGTAATTTGCAACAATGGCTCGAGCGAGCAAAAGTGCGAAATGATTGACTTTGGTCAGGATAATCGCCATATTTTACAATGTCTTTTTCGTTTCAAATTAACATTTCGGTCAAGATTAGTGCTGGGCTGTTGCAAAACTTGCGCGGAAACCTCGATGAAAAGTTCGGAAGCGATCAATCGAGCGGTTTGATAGAGATGTTCCAGGGATCCATATGGATGAGGTGGAGTTTAGACAAATTGCCGGCTCTCTCGTGCAGCAGGTCATTTTCCCGCCAAATTGCGCGTCTCTCGGCCGGGAAGGTTTTAGCTATAATTTATCCGAGTATGCGCAGCAATTGTTTACGGCCTCAGCACGCCGCGCACAACGTTTGAGTGCATTAATTTTATTCGAACACTTTCGCGTCTAAGGTAAGCTGCGGCTTGGATAGGCACAGCCCAAAACCCCTCGACCAGGAGAAGCCGCGGCTTATGCTAGCCGTGGGTTGGATAAGCCGTGAACGTTGCCGGTCATTTTGTACAGTGTATACGGGGTATTCGCGTCTTATGCAAGCTGCGGCTTATTTTCTTTCGTACAAACGGCCCTAATTTCGTTCGTTGTGCCGTACCCTTCGGTAACCCTTTTCACTCCCTCAAAGTGACCAAATGAAAAATTCGATAGAAAAATCTAAATTTCATTTTGTTAAATGCTGAATAATAAGCAGTACCATGTGGGAGTACTTCTCAGCAGCTTTCCTTTGAATGGTCACATCATAGGATTTTGTCCACAGACTCAAAAGTTAGAACCACCTTGAACAGCATAATAAACAGTACCACAGGAAAGTACTGCTCAGTAGCTTTCATTTAAATGACCACATCATAGAATTTTGTCCAGAGACTCAAAAGTTAAAACTGTCACCTAACAAAACTCCCTCCTTCACTTTGAGAGTGAAACGGTTAAAACAACATCTTAAAAAGGCAGAATGTTTTATTTGATTTTGTTTTGTTTTAGAACATTTAAAAGGAATATTGAAATCTTCAAAGTGCTCCGAAAAGTACAGCCTCCCGTTTCCAGCCAGTGTGATGTGTCGGGCGAGTGCAAAGTAAGTACTAACTGAATATCTCCTATAATTCTTACTTGGGATTTAAGTAATCAATGTTGTACTAAATTGATACAATAGAGAGTAGAAGTCGTTACGTCACGTTGCCATGGTAGCAAAAGTCGATCGCGATTACTCGTGTTGGCAAATTTTATCTCTCGTTTGCCCCGTTAAATACCACGTGACATTGCTTTTATCCCATCCATTCTTAAACGTGTGCAAGTATGTTGGGTCTCATGAATAAGGTCTATTCGTCGAATCTTTACGACTCACATAAAACGTCGTATGAGGGAATTTCACATCGTAGTCGTGCAGTGACGGCAAAGAAATGTACCAAAAGTGTGTTACGATTGCAAAACTTTTGCAGTGCTTAATAAATATATTGCTTTTTTGACGTTCCTGTTGTCGTCGCAGTCGCTAAAGCTCCTTAATGGATATCTCCGCCCATATCAAAGTGACTCGTAAAGCAAACGATAGACTAAGCTATGTTTTTATTTGCAGTCCGGTTGTACCTTGGCGGTGATTAACATTGGAGCTCCGGCTGGCGGCATGAGCACAGCAGTGAGGGCATTTGTAAGGTTTTCTCTCTTCAATGGTCATTCCGTACTTGGCATAAGGGATGGGATTGATGGACTCTTCCAAGACAAGGTACTTTCAAAACTACTGAGTAACAGCCAAAGGGAGTGCGGGCGAGTTACATTTTTGAAGGCCAAAACGCTCTTGTTAGACTTTCTTAAAGTCCTTATTTTTCTATTCCTGGTTGATTTAGTTATTTTAAAGGACTTTTCATACCTGTTCGGCGCGAAATTCATCGGTGGAAAATTCCACCGGTGACGTTCATGACAATTGACCAATAGGAAATTGAGTGATATTTGACCCCACATCCTGACACAGCATAATTATGTCAATCATTTTTTCCGGCGTGAAGTTACAATACATAACATGATTCAAATCCATCCAGGCAAAACAAGTCAAACGGTGGTTTTCGAATGAGATGATGTCATACATCATAATGCTACTGGCATTACGCATGCAGATGCTCTGTGAGGAGCTGGGCGACCTTGCAGCTCTCGGAAAACCCCAGGGGATTGGTTGGGGAAATAATGAACAAACAAAGTTCACAATGGAAACTGACCAGAAAACAAAAGAGCTGGTCTGTCATCTGAGCCCGCGAGATGGTCATGTGATAATTGTCAGCGGATGTCTGATTTTGACAGCTGTCAATCTAATCGTACTCATACGGGTGGCGCACATAACTAGTGGTCCCAGTGATTTTGTTACAAATAGTTATGGTGAGCCCAGGGACTCATTTTGTGAAAAATCATGAGTCCCAGGGTCTAGAACCAATGAGTCCCAGTTAAAAAACAACAACAACAACAACAACTAATTCGAAATTGAAAATGCCTGGGCCTTTACGTAACCAGACAGTTAATCTGAAGACAGACGCCAAAACTCTGTATTACAGTATAGTGAAATGAAAATATTGTCCGCCTATTTTAAAGCTCAATAAAGGCTAAAAGAAATAATGCATCGTTAAACAACAGCCATAATAACTGCCACAAAAAAATTTACGCAAACAGGATGTCTCTACAAAACACATTGATCGATCGATCTTTGCGTCCTACGGGTTCCATGCCACGGATTTTGCGTCCTTAAGAATTTTTATGCGTCAGGGACGCAGGAAGCAGAGGTAACAAAATCACTGTGGTCTAATTAAATCAGAGGTTCTGAAGAGCTGCAAGGAGTATTTCCATCGTTTCAGCGTTTTCATGTGGCGATGGCGACGTTTTCAAGAATATCAGGATACGTTTAGACGGGACCTTATCTAAACGCTTTCTTTTGTCGCAATAAATGTACTGAGCTCCTGGTCACGTGAGTGAACACGCTCTATATTGGATTTCTGTCTTGTTCGTTAGGTCGAGACGCTAGGATGGCTGCATGTAGAAGGCTGGACCGGTATGGGCGGATCCAAGTTAGGCACTACCAGGTATTATAGAAAAATATGAAGTAAGCCAAGTCAGATACCATTAGTTCAACATTGTGGCAAATCCTTGTCACTCTGATGAAGAGCAACAACATAGCAGACGATGCAATGGCTTTTGTTCCTCTTTGTCAGCGTAGATGACAAAGATCCCGTCCACACGTCTCCGGTTTGTTTGAAAACGAAACATCCGACGGTAGGTCAAACTGATGGAAACATCTCCGTTGTCAAACAAAAACTGATACGTGTGGACAGGGCCAAAACCCTCTCTCTTATTACACCGCTCATGGGAGGTATGATGTACGAGGTGTTGTCTCAGGATGGATTTCCACTGTTGCGTAATTTTTACGTTGGCACGCACGTAAATTTTACGCGCGTAAATTAAATAGGGGCAATGTATGAAAGGGCGCGCGTTGAGCGCGTTGAGCGCGTTGAGCGAGGTTAAACTTTTACTATTACGCGTGACTTTCCATACATTGCCTCTATTTTATTTACGCGCGTAAAATTTACATGCGTGCGCACGTAAAAATTACGCGACAGTGGAAAGCCATCCTAATGCAGCACCCCCTGCAATGTTTCTTGCAACACGAAAGAGATTTTTTATTTGTTTCAGCATATCTGAAGTCATGCAAGAAGTATAACTTGATTCTACTTGGTGGATCGTTTACTGCAATTAAAACATTGCGAGACCTAGTCATTTATGGCGTATTACACCAGCAACGTGTCACACAACGTGTCACGCAACGTGTCACGCAACTTGTCATGCAACTTGTCATGCAACTTGTAAATCGCCGGACGGGTTGCAATTCACTGAAAATGTCAAGTGCGACAGGGCAGTTTCTTTCTTGTCAATTTAGCACTACATTACCTTAACGAACAAGGAAACAACGGCTAAAACCTTGTCTTGCAAAATTTGACACTGATAAACTGAATTGCAAACCTATTTTAGCTACAACTAAAAACAGAGATATCGTTTAATCGTACATTTGATTTTAGTAATTCTTATTTTTCTCGTAACTGTTTTATGCACGACGCCACCAGCAATGCTGATCTTCTTATCGTGTTAATCTATTAATCTTTAACCCTTATATCAAACTTTAAATTCTCATCAGTTGCCCCTATATATCTCCTTTAGAGGAAAGAGGGAAAATTTTTGAAAATATCAAGCAAATTCACCTTGTGTGATGATGACCCTTATTCTCTTGACCACTCTATTTTATGAAGCATTGAGATTAATAGGAGAAATTTGAGGCTGATCACTCTTAGCTTATATCCCTGGCTGCGCCTTTTGTACCCTCTTCGTTGTACCTCTATTACGTATATTAGATAAGTCTGTTAAATAAAGTACATCCTTTTTGCAGAACTTTGCCTTCGAAAGACTTAAAGAAAGTTGCAGATCAGTTGTCCAAGTACAATATTCAGGGCTTGCTAATCGTGGGAGGCTTTGAGGTGATGCTTGTTCTTTAGACCCCCCTTCATACTCCGTCGTTTTTTAGATCTTTTTCAACATCTTCCCAGTATTTACAGAGGTGTTTCAGTCACATGGTATAGCTACTTAATAATGATGATGATGATAATAATAATGATGATGCTGACGACGACGACAACGACGATGATGATGACGAAGATGACGATGATGACGAAGGTGACGAAGATGACGAAGATGACGATGATGATGACGAAGATGGCGATGACGATGATGACGATTATGACAATCATCAATGTCATCATTGGTGTCTACGTCTTTTAAGTGTTAATGGTTACTTAACCTGTAGCTCCTTTTTTTAGGCATACCACAGTCTTTTGGAACTAGCTGAGGCACGTAATAAATTCCCAGCATTTCGTATCCCAATGGTCATCATTCCTGCTACAATCAGTAACAATGTTCCGGGTACAGACCTTAGTCTTGGTACAGACACTGCTCTGAATGTCATCACGGAGGTAACCTTAACTTCTTTGTGTTACTGTGCCCAATAAATGTCAATTCCCCGTGTTAAGCCCTCCTAGTATCATTAAATCGAAAAACCGTTTTACAAACAGGAGAACGTATCAAATTTTCTTTCTCCTTTTAATCTGGAATGCGGTTTGTAAGGCCCGGTATGGTCTGAACACCTATCCGACATGTGACTCTCCACTGTAGAGACTGGCGCGGCGCGACGCGGCGCAGCTTCATTCCGTTACATAAATCGCGCCGACATCATCGTTATTATGTGTGAAAATTCGGCTTGGTGAACCTGGCCTAAGGATCAGAATCTAAGAGAATTACGGCTACATTTAACCCACATTTGACAAATTTAGTTTGTTAGAGTTAATCACATTGAAGTTCCAAAGAACGCGCTTTCAGTACTTGTAGGTCGTGTGCATTATATTTTGATCATCATACGAGTTACCTAGATTCTGTTCTGTACTGCGATGTAAAGTACTCACTGAAGCCAATCGCAACAGGCCCTTCATTTTCTTTAACATTTTCCAACGTGGTATTAATTTCAAATGAAGGATGACCCTCGCGGTTGTGAACGCAATTTTGCAATTGCGTAAGAAACCTGCCATAAATTCAGGTCTTCAACGGGATTTAAACCCGTGACCCTCGATTTATTTCGTAACATCTATCATGTTATTAAGTTATTTGAATTCGTGTTTGGTTCCCCCTTTGCAGATGTGTGATCGTATCAAGCAGTCGGCTAGCAGCGCCACTAGGCGAGTGTTTGTCGTGGAGTGTATGGGAGGCTACTGTGGTTACCTAGCAACCATGAGCGCGCTTGCCGGGGGCGCAGATGCTGCCTATGTGTACGAGGAAACACTAACACTTGATCACTTGAAGGTTTGTGCGCATGCTCTTGACATTGCTTATCGAATCTTTTCATTAGCATGTCGCCCGTAAGGCAAATAGACGTAATATGGAAATGCTAAGATGTGATGACAGCAGTGTGGCATACATCAACTTCTATCCCCGGTACACTTCTTTGCACATTGGCAAAAATTGGGTTTTATTCGGCCAGAACAAAAGCCTGTTCCTGCGGGACAATGCGGGAAGTCTCGAGAGGGCAAGACAGGCCATTTTTTTCCTTTCAGGTAGCCGATCAGAACGCGGTATTTGTTTCATTTTGTTCGTTTGCGCAGCCAGCTTTGTAAAAAACATGAATATTGCTACTAACTCATATCTTGAGATACGATAACAACAGTAAGGGCCTGTTTACATGGAGGCGGGGGACCCCAGATAGAGGTGGTGGTGGGTCACCTCACCTATCATGTTCACGCGATCAAATTAAAATGAGAAATTATATGGACAGGCGGGTTACCTCACCTACCTGGGGTCCCCTACCTCCATGTAAATAAGCTCTAAAGCGTGTATCAGTTCCCATCGCTGGTACAGCTCTATACAGCTGGCCAGATGTGGGCAGTTTTAAAAGCACTGTATAGCAGGAACTTTTCTCATGGATTGAATTACGCGGGCCTAAGACAGACCTACTTACATGATAGTTTGCCTTAATCTTTAGCTTAATTTGTACGATTTTTCCTTTAAACAGACCAACATCGAGCACTTGATAAACAAGATGAGAGGCTCGATACGACGAGGACTGGTAATAAGGTAATAAGACGTTTTGTATACTTCTTCGTGCCTGAGCATCCATTATTATTAATTTTGCCTCAGTCAGGGAACGTAAGACGCTCCGCCTGTTATCAATCACGGAAAAGAAAAAAACCAGCGAGGTTTTGTACTCAGCCGGTTTCTATCAATTCACGGATTTTCCGTAGTAGTTTACGAGTTCTCTACGAGGTTTTCCCAATTTTCCGAAGTTTTTCCGACTGCAGTCGTAGCCATTAAGTCGTTGTCCATGTAGTAAGTCCGTAAGCCAACTTCTTCAGGAATCCCAAGACAGAGGCAAAAAAATAGGCCCGGTTGTTGTTGCGGCTGCTTTAGCGGTCAAAAAATGCTTTGGGCGATAAATTTGAACGGCAGAAGTATTTTAATGATAAACTAAATGAGATTTGGACTATCAGCTTCAAAATATTAGGAAGCGAAATCGATGTAAGAGCACATTTATATTGCATCTCACTTTGCAGGCGAGATTATTATTATTATTATCATTATTATTGTTATTATTAGTTGGCTTTATCTGCATGTGTTCTTTAAATGCAGCGAAATGCATTTAACGTCGGCTTTTTACCGTCGAAACCCTGCTTATTTTCCTGAAATCGTACCTTAAATTCATATTACGACAGAATTTCCACTGGAAAACGCCTGAAAAAGTATAAGTTATTATGGCTTCGTGGCGTGTCTGTTTCCTTCCTTTTATTGTATTAATTTAAAATTTGACGTGTCATTAATTTTGAACCGCTTATCTTTCTTTGGAACAGAAGCGAAAATTGCAGTGAGAATTACACCACGGATTTCATTGCCGCGTTATATCGGGAAGAAGGAAAAGGACTCTTCACTGTTCGAACCAACGTGTTAGGTCACGTGCAACAGGTAGGATATGAAGCGCTGGGTCACGCGCAGTCGAATGATTTAAATAGTGGGTCACAGGTTACGAGAAAATTCAGTAGTAGGTCAGTTACAAACACGACTGACCCAAGATTTTTCTTCTCGCGTTGTCGGTCCTTTAAGGCTTCGTTCTCACGTATCTAGATATCTTTTGATTATTTTTTTTATAGAAAAGGCCCAATATAAGTTTTAAATGTTGTTGCTGACAACGGAAATTTTTCTCTCCGTACCACGTGAGGTTGGACAGCAGCTTGCAAAGATTCACGGGAGCAATTTCGACCAATCACGATTGAGGAAACCCATCTTGCTGTAGACCGTGAGATGAATATTCAAAACATTGTGTACCTCAATTATTTCGTATTTTTTCCTCGTTTTCCGTCATCGATTCGTCAAGAAATTCTTCTAGTGTTTTACCTGGACCCTCTGATTGTATTATTTCGCTGGCCACTTACTTTGAGATATAACCCCCAAGGAGAACAAACCGTATGGAAAAAAATCTGTATCAACGGACTACGTTGCCACTTGTCTTCCCCAGGGAGGATCGCCATCACCTTTTGACAGAATCCAAGGCACTAGACAGGCCACATTAGCTGTGAACTGGCTCGTAGAAAAGATCGAACAAAGTAGGACATTTGAAGGTACGTTTGGTCTCAACACGTTATCGTTCTCCAGTTGACTAAGTTTGAACTTTCGGCGTTGTTATTTTAAAGATAAGCACTGGAATCGACGAAAATGCGCTTTCTTTCGCTTTATTTCTGATCTACTTTCCCAGGTCCTTCAGACCACTCTACTTTTATATTATGTGTTCGACTGTGCGTTTCAATCTCTGAAAAGGGCATTCTTGCAAACATCATCGCAAACTTCAATTTCGTTGCCAACTTGATCAGCTTGTACACTGTAAGTCGCTGAGTTCGTCAAATGAGGGCGAATGTTCCTAAGGTTAAATTGATGGTGAACACCTTGAAGTTCAAATGTTTGCAAAGTTTTAAAAAAATCGCGTTAATACTATCAAAGGCACCATACCCTCTGGAAAATTGAAGCCTTGTCAGTCGCATAACGCTTGAAGAAACGTAGACTACGAGCAGTCTCTTTTTCTTCAGAATTACTGAGGGGAATGCACGCGCGCCCAAGCGAGAATAGCCTGTTCCAAGCGTTCAGATAGTGGAGAGCGGTGCGAAGTAAAGAAAGCGATGAAAAGTAGTCACCTCTCCTCCTCCCTCGCTTTTATTTTTTGGCGCTCCTTTTTACTTCGCACCGCTCCCCACTATCTGAACGCCTGGAACAGGCTAAAGCGAGAAACGAAGGCGGCACTCTCCCGTCTCCCGCCTTTAGTCACGCGCGTGGTCATCTTCGGGTCTTGAGCGTTTCGTTCGACGGACTAAGAAAAAAGGGAGACTGCTCGTGGTCTAAGAGAAGTGATATAGCACAACCAGGGGCACTCAAAGACCGTTTCCTCCTAAATATATTGAAAGCTCTTTTTAAGCTATTCAGAGTACTTTTAGAGCTCTAGAAGTGTATTCCAAGCGGCGCTTTAAAATTTGTATCTGTTCGGTCATCCAAGGGCAACTTGAGTCTTTTCGAACTTACAAAGGCTTCTCTATTATTTTCCCGAAAAATTAAGATGCAATTTTACGAGATTACGAAAGTGAGAATTTTTCTGTTTCCTCTCTCCATCACATTTTAGAATCTAAAAATTTAAGGTTTCCCTTTTTCTACGAAAAACAGCCTAACCAGGGGGGTGAAATGTAAAAAATTAAACTTCAGAAAATCGTAAGGAGTTTATTACAGCTTCGAAAATTGTACATAATTGGAACGGTCATCTGGAAGTTTTTACTCGTCCTCAAGTCATAGAAAATTCTAGGAAATATTTGCTTCTCCGAACAGATATTTTAAAGAAAACAGTCATTGGGTGCCCCTGAGTCAACTACGTCCCTTAATGAAGGCAATTGAATGTTACAATGAAGCGAATTCAAAATGAAAGAATTTTAGCTGAAAACAAATGGCGCTACTCTTGTTTCAGGGAAAATTGAGACTTCTTCTCCAGACACAGCCTGCCTCTTAGGCATCAAGAAGGCTGAAAACCCTTTCACACCTGTACAGGAGCTCAAACTAGTCACAGACTTCAAGTAAGTTTTACCTCTTTAGTTTTGCCGGGTTTTAATGTAGGTAGATGCATTTAAGCATCTTGCATGTGTAGAGCGGTTAGCGGAAGCAGAATGCTAGCAGCTTGACTAAGCAGATTGGTGTAGATTGGCGGATTCTCTCTTGTATGCATGTTTATTGCGGGCGACAAATGGAGCCCGCAATCTTAATCTCCAGGTTGCTATTACGCATGCGTGACACGTGTGTAGCCAGCTTTGGTTTGGACTTCCATTAAAAAATGTTGCAGCAAATTGAAACAATGTCGCATCTCAATGATTCAACGCTGTGTTGGGCTAAAAATCGTCGTTGCGAATCTTCTCGTGTAACATCACCTTAAAGATTTAATGAAAAGCATAGAACCAAGAGCCATTGCCCGATTATGATCTCTTGATAAAACGCAATCAGATCACGTGCATTTGGACCTTCTATCACTTAAGCAACGCACGGTGTTGGAGTAAGAGCGCTTCGTCGATCTCGCCCGCTTCCCCTAACCTTTGGTTACTACAGTTATAATTATTTTTTTTGTAGACATCGTCTTCCCAAAGATCAGTGGTGGGTCGATCTTCGTTCTCTTCAGAAGATCCTGGCCAAGTATCACCAACAGTTTGAGTACCATCGGGAGAACGATTCGCCTTGACATGTGATAATAGACTGTTGAACTCGTGAAATCTACTGATAGTACATGTGATCAACCATGATAGAGAACCACGTGATTTTTGCTTTCAAAGCATGGAGTTCAATGAAATAGAGGCGTTGTTGGAAGTCTGTGTAATTGGCTCTATGTACAGAACGTACTGAACATAAAGCGCGATTAATACGGAGTCGACGCAAAACAACCAGTCTTTTACGAGATGGGTTTAAGCAACCGCGACGGCAACTACCCGGCCAAGATGTCATGATATTCTTCCGCTTTTGTGACGTACGGAGGAAAGCAGACACAGCGGTTATGTGCGTTGTATAAGTCGATATAAGGGACTGTTTCACAGCAGTTTAGTTCATTTTGCCATTTTCTGCTCTAAGGTTGCGTTCGATTGGGAAATCTGGATTTAGATTTTGAAATCCGGATTTGCGATTTTGCAATCGAACGCGAAATCCGAAAACGGATTTCACTTTCTAGAAATCCGTCCTCAGGGTGGATTTCAATTAAGGAATCCAAATCCGGATTTCGTGGATTTCCTTCTTTACCGTACGATTAGGAAATGCGAAAAGGAATTCTCTTGAACAGTGGTCTTATTTTGCTAATTATGCTTGCGCGTGCAAGACCTCTGTTCTTAAGAACAGTTTTTCAAATCCTTTTTCGAATTTCCAAAAAAAAAAAACGGAAAGAAAGGAAATCCAAGAACAGATATCTCAGCGTTGAAATCCGTTTTCGGATTTCGCGTTCGATTGCAAATCCGAAATCCGTATTTTAAAATCTAAATCCAGATTTCCCAATCGAACGCACCCTAAAAGTTTGTGGAGGACACGGACTCTCGATGGATATGCAACCAACTCTCGCCTTGCGGACACCCCGCTAAAACGGACAACCCGATAACACGGACAGCAGCTAAATCCCCGGCGAAAACAAATTAGAGACGTTTGAGTGAAATAAACTGCCGCTATTACAGACTCTCGCTAATGAGGACGCTAATTCGAGGTCCCTACAGTGTCCGCTATTAAGAGAGTTGACCGTATAAGATCTATTTTCTTCTGCAAATTTTTAGTCTTCCGTAACGGTTTGCACACTGAACAGCTTACTAACATAAGACTTATTAAACAAATTAAAGTTAAGTAAAGTATTCTTTTAGTGCTTTCTTCTTAATGCGCTCCCTTTAGCCTTGCAGTCCTAGTTGCTTAAACGTCATAAGAGATACCCGGAATCAAAAGAAAAAACATTAAAGAGTATAATATTGTTACTGTATGTGATGAACGCTAGAAATAAACAAACAAACAAAAAAAGGGTCCAACAATAAAGTGTTGTCCAAGAGAACGAGTTTTGGTTCTCGCGCCATTTAACATTTTAAATTGGCCGTGCCACATAAAATAGTGCTGTTTATTAATTGCGGGCGACAAGAAGAGCCCGCAATCGTAATCTCCAGATTGTTATTACGCTTGCGTCGCATGTATGTAGCCAGCAGTTGTTTGTTTGGACTTCCACTAAGAATGAATGGAATGCACAGAACGCAATTTGATCACGCGCGTTTAGACCTTCTGGCTATTCGTAATCTGATCACAGTATCACGCTTGTTATGAATATCCTTCACTTGAAACTTATGCAAAGCATAGCGCGCCCGCTCTCCGTAACCTTTGGTTATTGAATTTTTTATTGAGTATTGAGGTCTCGATATTTCATTGAAGTCCTGAGTTTTTTTCAGGCTTCTTTCGCAATTGCATAAATTGCGTTTACAACTGCGAGGATCATTCTTCATTTGATTGCATTTCTGCAGTTATCGTATATGATATATTTCATGTACGTTTGTCAGATCGCTAAATAGCGCAACACGCGGGTTGTAAGGTTGCAAAGGCAGCATATTTTTGCAAGAGTGCTTCTCTGATACCCTTGTTCTCTTATATTCCCAAGGCTTGCAGAAATGGCGGGAAGTTGTGGCAGGTCTAGGTACATGACTTAATAACAGCGTTATCGACCAGTAAACGAGTACCGTAAAATTCCAAAAGTAAGCCCCTCCAAATATAAGCCCCCCAATATCGTAACGCAAAAAACCCTCCGTTAAATCGCCCCTCCAGATATAAGCCTCTCGGGGGGCTTGTACTTGGAATTTGCCCTCGAATACAAAGTAAAACAAAGCAAAAATGGTAAATTTCCTTCCCACTACAAGCTAGCCCAATCAATTTTGAAACGCAAATTTCCCCCCTTACATAAACCCCTCCGAATATAAGGCCCTCCAAAAATAAGCCCCTCAAAAAAGGCCTTTGACACTGCTCGAAAGAGCGCCTTAAAATTAGTGAACTTACCAAGTTTTAAGGTCACGTACGTCCAAAGCGAGCGAAGATGTTGTCCCACAAAACTTGACCACCAACTGATTCAAACGTCTGTAAAATTCCCAAACTTGACTGATTTTAAGGCGTTCTTTTCGCTGACTGGCCTCAGTTAACATAGTCCTCTGAGAGGACCTGAGCTTACTAGCAGTGAATAGTCTGTACAAAAACCACGTGCTTGCAAAATAAAATCGTTTTTCAAGGCAGCCACGTTGTGCACTGGCCTGCGTAGCATGGCGGTTTTGTCGGGCTCACTACCCTCGCCCACCTTCGCCCACCTTTACAATCTCAATGCGCTTTACATAGATAAGAAAAGGAGGGAAGATAAGAAAAGGAGAGGTTTCACTGCACTATATCTGTATAGAGGATATTACACAGTGGCGCGAAGATATGAATTTTATTTTCGAGTGGCAAAACAATATTTTACGAACAAGCGCAGCGAGTGAGTAAAATATTGTTTTTGCCACGAGAAAATAAAATTCATATCTTCAAGCCGCCGTGTAATGTTCTTTTTATTATATAGACAAAAAGGCATCGATAACATAATAGAGGGAAATTACCGAAATTACGTCATCGATAAACTCACGTGTTAGATGATGGCAAATAACCACTTGGATCCCGGATGTAGTTTTTATGAATTTTACGAGTGGTATATCCTGTAAAACACTCGTCTCTATACAATAAAAAGTATTAACCTGCGTGTGTTTGTTTGTTCATATATATACATAATTCATTGAAAACCTCGTGACTGATATTGTAGTAATATACATATGCACGATTAAAGATAGCAGAGAGAAAAACAAGCAATAGATAATAAATTTTTTTATATGCCTCAGTGAACTTTTCAAATTTGCACGCAGTGCGTGCCATTTATCGGCCCAGGGCTCCTCTGTCAACTATGACGATTCAAAATGGAAGCTGAAACATGTACCTGCAGTACCTGCATCATTTCAAGTCATTTGAAGTGCGCCTGGTTCATCTCCTTGGCACATATTGTCATCGGAATGTTGTTGTTCGTACTTGGAATCTTAGATCGACTCTACCACGAGTATTGGATAGAGCAATTGTACGTTGCAGTCTTTTGTGGAGTTGTGGTAGGTTCGTACTTGCCAAATAATAAAGCTTAGACTTAAGCTTACATATTTCAGATATTTCCGTTTACAGCTATACGGCTACCTTATATAACTCTCACTTAATTTCGCAATTTCGCGAGTATAAAATTTAGCAATTAATTGTTAGATGGGGCTGTGATCTGAAGTGTAATAGGCCTCGGCAGATAAACACCTAGATCTCCAACTTCATTCTTTAGGATTCATACTCAGCCTCATCCCCCGGAAGGGGGCGAGGAGTGAGGGGGGGGGTACTCGCTTTGATGGCCTATACGGAGAGGCTCCGCCCGAAAGGAGTACCTTTTTCAGGCTTCAGGGGCCCGTTTCTCGAAAGTCCCGATAATTAACAGGCCCGTAAAGCTGTTGTTGTTTACATGCAAGATAGAAGTTTCAATAGTTTTGCATCCAACATGATAAAACTATGAGTTAATGAAACAAAATGGAGCAGTTTGTTAGCCAGGACCAGCGCTCTTATATACCTGCCAACTTTTTCTGAGATATAAGCATGAGATTTTTATCCTGGGAGTGCTGGGATTTTTGAAGACGACACGATCATTTCCGAAGACTCCTGAAGAAGTCCGAAGTCTTCCGAAGAAGTCCGAAGTCCTCCGGAGACGTCCGAAGACGTCCGAAGTCTTAGGACGCGCATAAACGCGAGCTCGCTGTCAGTTCTTTTCACTTCAAAAATCAGAGATCGCGAGGAAGGTATTGTCATTTATTCATTTTACACATGGTTTTCGTTCCTTACATGGGTCTGAGTTAACATATTTTTGGAAATTGTAACAAGCAAGATGGCAACAACTCACATTTTTCAATCAGGCGTGAGAAATTGGCCCGCAAGTGTGAGCCGGCATGAGATAGAAGTTTTCAACCTGCAGGCGTGAGAGTTGGCAGGTATACTGTTATTCTTTGTATTTTGATTTGAAAATTTGATTTCAGGCCCGTAAAGTTACCGGGACTTTCGAGAAACGGACCCCAGGTATATGAAAGGAGAGGGATTTCACTAGTTGAACTTTATAAAAGGGTAGATAAATCTACCATTTGGGTCTGTACTAGGGCCCACAAGGGCTAAAAGATGAATTTTATGGCTTTAAAAAGTCGAGAAAACGTTCTATTTTTGTGATTAGTTCTTATTTAAAAGACAGTGCATTTACAGCAGTTAAAATGGATGCAAAGTTCTTAACAAGATATGTGAAACGAGTGCCATTTATCAATAGAGGATATACAAAAGGGGTACCTTTTTCGTGAAAAATGGAATATAAAAGGGTAAGAGGTTGGACCTCGGGGCACCCGGGGGCCTCATCCAATAATTGCTGTCCGTAATCCGGATTCTGTAATCTGGTAAAGTTTTGTTTCTGAAATCCGGAATCCAGGAAGTTTCTCTTGTGGAATCTGGAATCTTGCCTTAGGACTCTGGAATACAGCATTAGATACCAAATAAATGATTGGAATCCGGAATCCAGTTCCTTGGAATGCCGGAATCCACATCATGGAATCAAGAATTCAAGACTGTCTTGCATTTCCTTACATGGGGAGACCCCAAGGTGACAGCATGTATAACCCCAGGGGGGTGGGGTTACTCCCTACCATGGCTTATTTCAGGAGGTGCCCCTTTCATTCTTCAGGTATATTACTACATAAAGGGTATGGAAATCTGTCTTTTTTTTTTGTCTGTAAAATGCATTTTATGGCTGTGAAAAAGGTGAGAAAATGTTCTGGTTTTGTGATTTATTGATGTTTAAAAGCCAGTGCATTTTGTGCCCTTAAAAGGCAATGAAATGAAAGTTTTAATCTACATACAACTCATGACCGTTAGAACTTGGGTCAGTTGAAGTGCTTGGTGCGAAGCCTCTGCTTACAAAACTTTATTGAGTACCTCAAGATCCTGGGGTATAAGCGCTGTGCAGAATTTTAAACTGTAGGACTTCTCTCGGTTATACGCAGTGTCATACATCAACACAGGCTCACAGATTTGAATGTAAATTTTTCAATAACAGTCAAGGGTGTCATGCATTGTGCTTATTTGAACATCTCAAGTTTTTTTAGGTATCTGCATTTAGAGTGAAGGAGGAACTAGGTACAAAGCAAATAAATAGGTTATCATTCTAAACCCTTGATTACTAACCCACCAAAATCATCTCTCACTCTTACAATCTCTTCATCCTGGCTGAGACATACATGTAAGGCTACAGTGAAACATCACCAATCAATAAGGCCAATCCTTCTCTGTCTTTTCTTAATGAATCCTTAATCATAAACATTTTTTTTACAGATGTGCATTACAGGAGGTCTGGGAATTCTAGCTAGAAAGAATGCGAGAGATATGACATGCTGTAGCCGCAAGAGCTTGGTAGGTTGACAAATAAAAACATACTGTAAAATTTAGGTCCATTAAGATGGTACGATTTTTGCTTACGAAATCCAAGAGATTCAAACTTTTAAATCGTTGACTCACTGACACTTATCAGGGGCAGATCTAGGGGGAGGGTGCAGGGGGTGTGCACCCCCCCCCCTGAGATGACCTGTGGTTTGCTAATACAACTGGTATTCTGCAAAAAAAAAACTATGTGGTTTATTGGTGTTGAAGAGAGCAAGAGACGAGGGTACCCCCTCCTAAAAAAAATCCTCGATCCGCCCCTGCTTATTTCTTACGTCCAAATGTCAGTGACTGTCAACAACCGTCCTAATTTTAGGACTAGACTCACCAGGATAATAATGCTCCACCTACTTAATCTATTTCCAGGCTGGAACATTCTTAAGCTTTGTCATTTTCTCAAGTGTGTTTGGTGGTGTAGTCTTTGTTAGCTATGGCTTTGCCACTGCAATCCGATGGGGTACTGGTGATGGAGGTAATTACGAAATCTGTGATGCACTTTGTAAATCACAAAATGCTATTGGATTTAGCATCCCGATACTCGGCCTTTTTGGGTGTATTATTGGATGTGCAGGATGCTGCTGTGTTACGACATCTTCTGGTCAGGTAATAAAAAGAATGTTAAAACTAGTGTGTGCAATTTCCCAGAATATTTGTATTTTTTTTCTGTAGCTTGGATAATATCCCTGCAATTTATAGTCTCAACATTTAATTTAAGTAAAAGTAATGAGTAACTTGTTCTTTTTCTGTAATAAAATATAAAAAAGCGTGTCATATTTTTTTACCAGGCTGAACTAATTTCAAGCTCTCCCAACGTTTCTGGTGGTCACCCCCAGACTGCGTCTATGCCTCCTCAAAGTATTGCCCAGGAAACCCGCCTGCCTCCAACCTATGGTGTTGACACCCAACATGGTTCCCAGGATCCTGATCTCCTACTTGTCCCCTTGGCGACGACTCCAGTACCTCCTCAGGAAACTGGCCGGCCTCCACCTTATACCGGTGACACCCAAACTTGTTCCCAGGGTCCTGATCTCTTGCTCGTTCCGTTAGAGGCTACTCCGATCCCTCCTCAGGAAATTGACCCACCTCCACCTTATCATCAAATTTCCACGACTGAATCTGTCATAAGGAGCTCGCATGATGGAGATCAACCTCCTCCCTATAGTATGTGTACAGAACAACAAGTAAGAGTAAAATATTTCGTGTCATTGTTCAGGAAGCGTATAAATACTCTACCATGTCAAGTGGACTTGCTCACTAAATTCGGGACTTTTTATTTAAAACCAATTGCACACTTTTTCCTAATTAGTTTTCTTATCATTTTATCAGATTTTATATAGTTCTTCCACAATTAAGGTTAATTATAAAGCCTTAACCATTCTTGTAGATCGCAAAAAAAAAAAATCTTGAAAAGCGGTTTAAATCGAGCCAGCTTACATTTCCAGGAGGTAAAATGCGGCTCTGAGGTCTTTTAATTCATACTGTGTCAAACTCTTTTGATTCAGTTGCTAAATCTTACTAATGTATTTTTTCCTTTTTCTAGCATCCTGTAATGACTTACGTGTGAAGTTGGAGTCTCCAGTTCTTACTAACAATTAATCTTCATCATCTACTAATGTAACGTTCCGGCAAACTTTCTCATGCCACTCTTGGCGCGCTAATTGATGAAAATCTAAAGCCCCTGCAAATGGACGCACCGTTGTAGACCAACAACTCCCAACGTTGTTGGATGTTATATGTTGCGTCCGTTTGCACACCCTGTTGCGTGTTGCTGGGAGTCATTATGTCGTGCAAAGTTTGAAACCGGTCAAACCTTTATCCCCGTGCTAACAAACGCCACGATACTACAATGTATATCAAATGACTTGGGGTAACAAAACCTTGAAACCAAACATCTCATTCATAAGGCAGTGATGGTGCGTAGCCTTGCGCCTGATTACCTGTCTCTAAAATTTATACGACGACGCAGCAAAATATTTAAATCCTATAAGCTTGCTGTCCCCTTGCCACGGACTCATTCCTATAGAAATAGCTTCTGCTAAAGCGCGGCTGTTCTGTGGAACAACTTTCCCTCTGATGTAACACAAGCAAAATCTTTTGCTAGCTTTCGGCAGCAGGCCTTGTTGTATAATAGTAGGATTAATAACTAGATTTAAATATTTTAGGATTTAAAAGTATATAAATTACATGAATAAGCTATATTTGTATATTAGCCTGATGTTAACCTTTTAATAAATAAAAGTGATGATGATGATGATGATGATGATGATGATGATAAATTTAACCTGATCCGTCACGAGAAAAACGTAAAAATGTTGGAGGAACTTTAAAGCTTTTTTTAACGAAAGGCAAGAAAGAGTGTGCATGGACATGCAAATACCAGGCCTTTTTGTCAGTAGGCCTCGTAAACATCTATTGCACCTTTATTGAACACGTAATCATTTTCAATAAATGAAAGAGCAGGTCATAATTGGAACAGGTGGGCTTAATTTCGTTTGTGGCTCATAAAGTAAGAGCAAGAGGTAGTAAGAAATACGGCTAAACCGGAGTCGAAGGAGGGGAAAAGGGCTTAAATTTCTTCTTTGACTACGGCTCAGCATCTCTTACTTTACCCCCAGATCGACGGAACATCCGAACTGTTCGAGGCAGCGTGATATCGGCCCATGTTGGTGCGTATCCGGATGGGCACCAACATGGCGGACGAAAACCAACGGAAAGGCTACAAAAGCGCAAATTTATTCCTCGAGGAACTCATAAACATTAACGTAATACTTTTCCTAATAAGTGAACTGTTTAGATCACAAAATTCGCCGAAATACGTCACGTTGTAAACCTACATGACAACTCTCTCGGCCGTCATGTAAATGCCGCGTCACGCAAAAGCTTAGAAATTCAAGGGTACTCTATCACAAAACCAAGAACCCTTTCGAAGCGAAAGTTTGCATGAAAATAAGTTTTCAGCTGCTTTAATACATCTTGAAAGTAACATCTCCGTAGGATTGGTCGTTTTGTAGCTTGAATTTTAGTGACGTCATGTGAAACCAACAGTAGATAATAAATTATACGAAAAACACTGCACGCATTGCGTGCCCTCTTATGTCGGCCCAGGGCTTCTCTGTCAACCATAAAGATTCAATATCAAAATGGAAGCTGCGGATTCCTTTGGAAAAATTTGTTGTACTGCGTAGAAGTCATTATGGCGGAAACACAACATGTCAAGTCATTTGAAATGCGCCTCAACACACGTTGTCTTTGGAGTGTTGTTGTTTGTAATGGGAATCGTAGACCTTGGAGTCAATTACGGCGAGTATTGGACAGGGTTTAGATTCTTTGTTCTCGTTTGTGGAGTATGGGTAGGTAAGCTTAGATATTTTTGCCACTGCTGTAAACGAAAGGAAAATAAGGTTACATACATCAGCTTACATCACGTGTAAAGGCGAAAAAGTACGTTCAGAACCGTTTCTGGCCGTTTGCACCCTTGTGCACTCCTGATATGGCAAGTTATGCCCTTTTCTGATTTCCGTATGGCTTCAAGTTTTCCTCAGTCAATTGTTACAAATAATTAGTAATTATTGGATAAGGCTGAGTATGATTTTAAGCATTATTGAAGATGAAACCCTCTGAGATCTGCTTACGTAAATTGCTGCTTATAAGCTTCCATCTCTCCCTCCTCCCCCCCCCCCTCCCCTCTCTCGCAGTCCCTATTTAAATGTAAGCCCATCTACGTGTCATCAACCACGAAAATGCATCCATGGTACGTGTCAACAACCACGAAAATGCATCCATGGAGAAAAAAAAAAACAGAACAGAAAAAATAAACAGGGAAATATTTTGAATCAAAAACAAGCTTGATTGTTATACACTGTACTCATTATCTGTCATCTCACTGGCTAAGAGCCTACAGTTAATTTTGGAAATTAGTGCAACCTACAGATCTAGATTAGTTGATAAGTTAGTTATCTGCTACCAAATAACTGACTAATCTGTAGGTTGCCTGCACAATGCATGATTTCCAACAGCAATTGTATCAATTCAGGTTCCTTACCACAGTGTATTTGTCATATTTTCTTCAAAACAAATTGTATATAATAGAACAATATTATTAGATTAGGCTTTTATGATATCCTAAATAATCAAGGTCTCTGTAAGTGTTATCAGCCTTGCCCTCCAGCTTGGCTGATAACCACTTACCTAGAATTCGATTATTCTGGATATCACAAAAACCTCATCCAATAGTTTTTTTGATATTGAACCCACAAGGTGATGGTATCAGCTGTGTATAAATTCTCCAAACTGATCTCTATACATTTCCTTCATGAATGAGTTGAGAAAATTTGATAAAAGATCAAGGCATTTTCCCTTAGGTGATCATTCAGGGGCACCCAACGAGAATATAGTTCAAAACCACTTAAACATAGCATTGTTAAACGTATTTTAGTATTTAAACGGTAGATATAGGCATATTTGTATTCCCTAAAAATTTTTCATCTGTTCGGATTTCCTAGCTGAAAGTCTAATGATCCGAAAATTATAAGGATCAAAACTTACCTTTTCGAAAATTTCAGCCAGAAAAAAGGCTCCCGAAAATTCTAGGTGACCTTTTTAGGGTAAAAATCCGTTAAATGAATAGGCAATTATACCATTTTTTAGATGTTCGAAAATCCTAGGAGAGACAGGCAAGCAAGAAATTTTACAACAAATGTTTCGAAAATTCTAGATCTCAAATCGTCTTCCGAACAGATATTCTTCCGAAAATTGTCGTTGGGTGCCCCTGATCATTTTATTAATTCTCATAACCTAATTTCTTGACATTGTATGGATATTGTTAGGAGAAAATTGACATTAGTCACTATCGGGACTTAAAGGGTTATCACACCTCATTCTTCTCTTAATGAATCTTAAATCACAATCATGTGAGTTAATAAATATCAATTTTTTGACAGATGTGTATGACAGGAGGAATTCTAGCAAGAGTCTGCAAGAGGACATCTTGTGGGCGCAACAACTTGGTAGGTTGAACTGGTAAGAATAATTTTTCTAGAGTGCTCAACTTTTCAAGACGATCTGAAATGACATTTAATTTTATTATAGTGGAAAATGTTGCTCCAGGCTTCGGAGGCCAGACTTTGGAGGCCATCACATTGCTTTATACATACATACATACATACTTTATTAGTATTCCCCAGAGGGCTTTTCAATACTAAACAGCAAAGAACATTATGATAAAAAATGAATAAAATTATAAAAAGCAGTCATTAATTAAAATAATTCTCTAGCATGTGCGTTTTCAACTTTTTTTTAAATGATGGTAAAGATAACTGTTTAAAGTCTTTGTCTAAATTGTTCCAAATGTTGACTGCTCTATGGAGGAAATGTCGCTGTCCGGACTTTGTCTTGCTTGGAGGAATATCAAGGGCTTCTCTGTTTCTAGTGTTATGATAGTGAATAGACTTGCGTCTTCGGAGAGACTCACACAAGTATGTGGGGGCTAGGCCCTTCATGCACCTAAATGTCATTACAGTGTCTCTGTAGTGGAGATGCTCATTTACTGGTAGCCATTTGATCTCGCGTAACGCAGGTGTTATGTGCTCAAATTTCTTTGTTTTTGTGATGATTCTGCACACGAAATTCTGAACAGCTTGAAGCTTCTTGATGTTTGTGGCAGTTGTTTTTGACCAAACTGTAGAGCAATAGAACAATTTGCTTAGGACTAGAGCGGAGATGATTGTGCACAGAGTGTCCCTATCAAAACTGTTCTTTACCCTGTTTATTTGACAAAGTTTGGTCATGCACGATGAAGTAAGTTGATGGATGTGTTGGTCATAGGTTAAGTTGTTGTCTAGAATTATTCCGAGATGCTTGGCACTGGAGTCAGGTGTGATCTCTTTCCCCAAGAAAGAGATCGAGATTTCGCTCGGAAGCCTGCGCAGTAGTTGTTGTGTTCCGACCATAAGGAACTTGGTCTTTTCAGCCACAGCTCCATTTCAGATGATCAAAAGGTGACCAGTACACACTCATGCTATAGTGGTTTGAGACAATAAGAAATAGCAAAATATTTTGAGTGAATAATAATAGGCAATATACCATTGAATCAATGGTGCATATTGCTTTTAATATCAGGCGTGGATCTAGGATAATCATACTGACCAATTTCCTAAACTTAAGCACCAAAGGCACAAGCTTCTAGTGGCATCTGGGGTATGCTTCCCCTAAAGTCCCCTCTCCTGGGTTTCTGAGTCATTCAGACAGGATAATGGTCAGTTCCATTCTCCACGGATGAAGCCCTGCAACTTAGAAAGTATTTTCTTTATTAAAAATATATCTATTATGAAAAATCTGACTGATTTCTGAAAACGGTGGAAACCGATGTGGATCCATGCCTGCAAATATGGTAAGCACCAAGTGCTTGTGAAGAACTAGCAAGGTGATTTGAGCTACAGTAATCAGAATTGGCAAAATATTTTGAATGAATAATAATAACGATGAGATGATTTATCAACCACCTGATTTTTAATAATTTATTTCCAGGCTTATGTATTTCTTACCTCAAGTTTGTGTGGTATTGTAGTTGGTTGTTGCTACAGCATTATACTTGGTCTTATGAGTGTTTGTGGATACTTTTGTGGACCAGGACAGGCTGTTGCAGCTATTGTCTTGTCACTTGGCATTGTTCAGTGTATTACAGGATGCAGTGGTTGTTACTGGGTTACTTCGTCTTCTACTCAGGTGATAACAATTATTAAAACTAGTGTTCGCAACTTTATTCCCAGAGAATTTGTATTTTTTTTCTACAGCCTGGATAATGCAGTGTATGTTTGCAGTTTACTCTAAAATTTAAGTTAAAAGTAATCTTAATTGAAGTGATTTGTTTTATGTCTGGGTAATATTTTCCATATATTTTTACCAGGCTGATCAAAGTTTTAGCCCTGTCACCGTTCCTGCTGGCGACGCCCAGATGGTGCCTACATGTATGCCTCCTCGAAGTGTTTTCCAGAATAACGACTGGCCTCCACCCTATGGTGCTGGTTCCCAGGGCCCTGATCTCCCTCTCGTCCCCTTGGAGATTACTCCCATGTCTCGTCAAAATATTGTTCAGCAAAACGATCGGCCTCCACCTTATACTGTCGACGCCCAAACTTGCTCCCGGGGTTCTGATCTTTTACTCGTTCCCATGGAGATGACTCCTATGCCTCCACAGGAAACTGGCCCGCCTCCACCATATCATCAAATTTCCACAACAGGGTTTGTTATGTCGAGCTTTCATGATGGAGATCACCCCCCTGCCTATGTCTGTACAGATGAACAAGTAAGTGCAGATCTTTTTGCTTTGTTTGGGAAGCTAAAACACTATGTGAATATTCATGACCTTGTTGTGGGTCACTGAACACTTTGTGATGCGACGACTAAGTGAAACAATGAAAATAAATGTTTCTAAATGCAAACCTCGCTCTTAAGCCATTGCAAATCGGAGAAATCATTTCAAATAACAAAATAGTGCAATTTTCTTACTGTTACTGGAACACAAATGAGAAAAAAGCTGACAACAAAACGACCTTATTTCACGATGGAATCTGCCATGACTGCGATATTACGTGATGCTTCTGGAAAAATACATCATGGGATACTATTCGATCGTCGTCTGGATTCGCTTACTTTATTGTGGAATTTAGACTTAGTTTGGACTCGGACTTTAGATTCTGATTTCACATACTTACAGTGTAACTTGAAGTTGATTATAGGCTCTTTCATGTACATTTTTGATTGGTCACCTTAATTTCGTTTACTTAATTTTGTTTCTCACATTCAATTTAAAGGTATTCCACTTTGTCTTTGGCGTAAAATTAAAACTTCAGTTGTTGAAAACCTTCATATTTATTATATTTGTCTAAATATATTTACCATAATTCACTCTTTAAAAATTCAAGATCTCGACGTTTCATTTCCCAGGATCCTTACGAAAACTTTCATTATTATATATGCTCTATTCCCAAAAGGTAAAATACGGCCAGACTTCAATCGATACTGTTGATTCAGTAACAGTCGCACCCTGCTTCACGAACACCTCGTTATCTTGCAAAGTTTTCTTTTTCCCTGGAGAAGCCCTTACATGTTGCATGTTGTCATGTTGCTTGCCCAATCATTAGATTCTCGTAGAAAGTTTATTATCAAAAATATGCTGAAGTTGACCTTTCCTTTTTTGAAGGTTAAAAAAACCCTCAGCTGACAGCTAACATGTTGATGTTCCCAACGCTAAAGTGCAGCGGATAAGATGATTTATAGATCAACGCAAATTGAATTTCAGACTATTTTCGCATCAAACGAGTTATGCAGATAACGGATTTAATTATTATAAGTAATAATATGTATGAGCGATTTTTGAGTGTTTTCGTGTGTTTAATCCACGGAATGACGGTTTTGTGAAGGTTAGAAATATTTAATTTGACGATGCTAATGTCATCCTTCATTTCTTTAATTTGAATTTGTTTCTAATATAAGGCTTTTTTTACAGTTTTACTTGAATAACATGACCCTCTCAATACGGACACACTGTTACTTCAGTGTCCGTATATTAACGGAGTTTGACTGCACTAAATCTTACTTGCATTCTTTCTTTTTCTTAGCATCGTGTAACTACTTACGTGTGAAGTTGGAGACTCCAGTTCTCAACTAACAACTAATCTTCATCATCTACTAATGCATTTCGTAACCTGATGCGTAATCACAAGAAATATGTAAAAGTAATGTAGGAACTTTGAAACTTCTTTTCAAGAAAGACAAGCGAGGAGAAGAGCGTGGAGAAATAATAATTATGATTGTAATTTATTAGTTTTTGGGACTAGGAGCTTGAACGCGAAAGTGGCGTGCTAGCGTCGGTTAAGTACAGTGATTTTGGTACCTCTGCGTCCTGGGTTCCTGACGCATAACAATCCCTAAAGACACAAAATAATTTAATGAATGCGTCCGGTAGAGACGCAAAGATCGATCGATCGATCGATCGATTTGAAAATGTCTTTGTAGAAAATCCTGTTCTTGTAATTTTTTATTTGTGGTTATTTATGTGGCTGTTATTTAACGATGCATATTTATTTTGGTAAGGTAGGTAGGTAGGTAAGAACCTTACTTTACGGCACGATAAAAAGATCAGCATTGCTGGTGGGGTCGTGCATACAACAATTACAAGAAAAATAAGGAGTACTGAAAGCAAATTTAAAACTGTTAAAGTTTTTTCTTGTATTAGAGTATCACCGGGATAAAGCGTTTCATTTTCCCGGAAAATTTCACTTTCTCGTCAAAACAATCGCTGACTCAGACAGACTTGGATTAGTTTACTTGAATTTAGTGTTCAGTACAGCGAACGGAGTTATGTTCTGTGAAATTTATCTACAGTCTGCGGCCCACATCACCACTGATCCACGATTTATTTATTTATTTATTTTATTTTCAAGTTCTTTTTAATCGATCCTCGATCCCTGATTTCTCGATCCTCGATCCTCGATCCTGATTTTCCAGTAAACATTGAAGTTTTGGTCATTAAGATTATTCTTTTTTTTTTTTCGACCACTAAAGTGATCAGTTGCTCCAAAATGATCAACGCTTTCAAGCCATAGAATTCTTGGGCCAACCCGTTCCGGAAAAGCTCGATATGGGATTTCTATTAACTATGGACATGAAGAGCTGCAAGTAGAGTGTGTGGTTAGTCAAGTTCAAAGCCACCCGTATAAACACATCCGTGACACGTTAGGGTGGATTTCCACTGATGCGTTTTTGGCTCCACACGTTAACGCACGTAAATTTTAATCACGTAAATCAAATAGAGGTAAGACATAAAGTATTGAGATTAAAGGTCAAATTAAGCGAGTTTCTACTTTTACGTTTACATAATTGTACGTGCGGCCTTTCATACATTGCCTTTATTTTATTTGCGAACGCAAATTTTACGCACGTGCGCACGTAAAAATTACGTGACAGTGGATACTTCATATCTCAAGTATTTATGAAGTGCAACACGACTTCACATCGTAATAACTGGAGGGGGCGTAAGGGGGGTACGAATACCGCAATACCGCACATCGTAGCGCGAGAATACCGCAATACCGCATCAAAATTTAGCCAAATACCGAAACCGCAGTTACAAATGGGAAAAAGTTGACGTTGTCAATACTAAAAATCCTCCTTTCAAGTAGAAAATACTTTTATGTCAGTCTTTCCAAACTAAGGTGCGTCGATGTCAAGCGTACGATAAACATAAGATCATCGCACTCGTTTAACTTTGTTCATTACATGTATACGTTTACATAAATGATACAACAGGAGTTTTCTAGTATTACTTTATATATTACTGACCTAGATCATAAACGGACGGTAAGCAGTTGACTCTTATGAGGTTGTTTCAGATTCACAATTAACTCGGTTCTTTGTTGAGGATTTCAACGAAGGGCACACAGCACACACTAGTCTGCGTAGCATGGCGGTTTTGGTTGGGCGCGCTAAATGATAAAGGCCGGCGCGGGCGAGGAGATTGGGGCGGGAGCTGCTTCGCCGCTCACAGTCGTGCTGCCGACAAAACCACGTAAAACTGCCATGCCCGGAGGAGTACTTGGGTTAATTTTTGCTTGGTATGTGCCACTGGCCTCTCAGAGCCCCTACCCCATTATAGTCTATTCAGTGGCCAATTATAGACCCCATCTTAGTCACTTTTGGACAAATATTTAATTTTCGCGATCCCAACTTAGTCACTTTCTATTTTAATGAATTGACCATTTTTTAGATTGAATGAAGACCACTTTACTTTTCATCTACAATACAAACATTCTGGTACGTTTGCTAACCGTAAATATGAAGAACTGTCTTACCCCAAAAGAGCAGAAAATGTGCGACCCCATTCTAGTAACTCTCTGAAAATGCGACCCCATTATAGTCAGTCCAGTCCTGAAAATGCGACCCCATCCAGCGGCACATCCCTATTAGCCTCTTATAAGGAAGTACCCCCGCTCCCCGGGCCCCCATGCTACGTAGGCTAAGCACACACGAATACTAGTACATTCTATATTCCTGCATACACAACGAGAAGGACGAGTAGTAAGTTTTAGACCACACCATCTTCATATATTATCTTTCGACCATACGGAATTTATAACGACCTCACTGACCTCACTATTTGCTGGAATATGTTACTGATAGTTGACCCTCTGGATCACTCGCCATTGTTTTACGACCGGCGCGAAAGTGCCGGTAAGATTTGTAAGGAGGTTAACTAAGCTGATTATTCCCACAAGGTCCATGAGGTTATAAATAATGCGACATGTTTACGTATCATTGGATAAAAAAAGTCAATGTCGTTAATCATATAAAGTATTAACTGAAATGACAAGCCATACGATTTGTCTGGAATGTTTGCGCAATATACGATCCCCGACGGTGCAACTATAGGAAGACACGCAGGTAACGCAGGCTAGCTAGGGAGACCTTTTAGGATTTGTATCCTCTTGTCATGAAAAAGAAGCAGATCACCGCGACACAACGATTTTTACACCGCCTACCGCGACAGAAAATTTAAACTTACTGCACACCGCTTGGACTCTGAAAACCGCAATACCGTACTTTGAAACAAAAATTACCGCAACACCGCACCAAAAATAACCCAATACCGCAATACCGCAAACCCTTACGCCCCCCTCTAACTGCGAAAATCTATCAATTAAATACATAAAACAAAGTGAATCTATTTAACCGTACATTTCCTGTAATTGCGACAATATTCTGAGAAATGTAACGCCTTAAAAAGCCACAAAATCCTGAGGATTTCCCCGGTATAATATTTTTTATCCTGCTTGGGGATATTTCCTTTTTAAAGTGCCCGCATGTCGTGCATAATTACACGAAAATCAAGAGCCTCCATTCGAGGAAAATTACCTCATTGCCAAACTTACATGCGCCTTTTCTGTCATCGCCGAAAATAAACAGCATTCTCATCACGAGACTCATTTTCATACAATGAAAGTCGTCACGATTCTTATCCCCACTTTCCACGGTCTTCGCTAGGAACGCGGGGCCTACAAACCAGGTCCCACCGATGAAAAAAAAACGACTGCATTTTAAGAGTCTCGCTCTGCTCAAGCAAGCTCGACTAATTAATTTTTCGTGGTCTAAAAATTGGTTTCCTTCTCATTTTTTGTACAAATCTGACAGCAATCTTCTGTGTACGTTTCTGCCGTCTTGCAGTGTGTGATAAAACGATGAATTTTCGATGACTTTGGTACGTTTTTCCTCAAACAACTCCATACATAACCCTGTAATTTTTTGTTTTTTTGAGATAGACGTTTTAACATGTTCTCTGGTACTCTGCTAGGTTCACGATCCCGTTTGTACTCATGACTTCTACATTCAAGACGACTGTAGCCATACACATACTTTGCATGACGAGATCTGACTTCTTCAACTTTTATTGACACTGGCATATCATTATATTCATGTACATGAGCAAAATTGATAACTTTTTCTAATACATTACAGTTCTGAAAACAATTTTCCGTATGTTGTAACATAGAACTCCATGCGTAGAACAAACCGACAGTTATCATCGCCTGTACAATAATATTAATGATGTACGAAATATGAAGTTCAAAGTATCCAGCATCATGAAAAAAAGGAAAAGAATCAGCCTGTTGATCACGAGAGGTAAATTAACGGCGATTTGCTTGTTGTTTTTTACCTCATCATCGAAGTTCTGCTTATGAACATTCTTCCTTGTTTCAACATCTGATGTATTCACTTCTTTCAAAGTTATCAACGCTTTCAAACGACAGAATTCGTGGAACGACCCATTCCGAAAACGCTCGACATCTTTTAGTGTGGGTCTACCACGAATGGTGTCTGAATTTGTAAGCGACACCACCGTATAATCCATTAATCTTTCCAAATTTGTCGTCTCAAAACATAACATACGGACAACTACGCGTTGTTTTTGGAAGCGTTCACTGAGATTGAGAGCATTGTGTCGATTTTCATCCCCAGATTCTGAGCTACCATGACCTGGAACATGTGTTTACAAAACTATTCTTTCTGTCACGTTTAGCTGTATTTTCTTTTTTTTCGCACGTGAAGGTCAGAACCAAATTACCATAAGATCAGAGAGAGCACGTGTTTACAGTTTTACTTTTTGTTATATCTGTTTTGCACTTACCATTTTATCGGCTTACCATGTCATATAAGCATGAAACGTAACCTCTTTTAACGAAAAAGATAAAGTGTGATTTCTTACATGGAAGAAAAGTACCTAAACGTGATAAACATTGCGCGTTATTCCAGTCATCCCCCAAAATAAACCAGATGCTCATCACGAGACTCATCTCTATACAATGAAAGCCGTCACGATTCTTCTCCCCAGTTTCCACGGTCTTCGCTAGGAACGCGGGGCCTACAAACTAGGTCCCACCGACGAAAACAAAAAACGACTGCATTTTAAGAGTCTCGCTCTGCTCAAGCAAGCTCGACTAATAAGCAGATAAAAACAGCTTAAAACAATTCTTATGCATAGAATTGGCTTGAATTTACCGATTTTCGTGTAGCAATGAACTGTAAACGACAAGTAAATAGAAAACTTGGTCACATGGTACAAATTCACGTTTGCCGTTACTTAGATTAGAACGCCAACAAAAAAAGATTTCTTAAAATGCATTTCGAGTTCGCATATCTCCCTTTTTTTCTTATTCTTTTTGGAGGTGAAATGACAAATACGATCATACTCCCGTAGTTCCCTCGAAAACCATACCTGACTCCAGACCAACATGGGCAAAATTTATACCCGTTTTCAGACCGAAAGGGTGCAAAAACCTATCCTTTGGGGAGGCACGTACCTGTATGACTCATATAAGGGAGTAACTCTCTGGGTTATTTTGTAGGAAAAATAAAAGAGTGGCGAAGAGAATCTTGGCTGCGTAGCAAGCGTTTCCGCGCGAGTTCTGAGTACTATAGTAACATGAATCTTCGATTTAAAACATCAAAACAATCTAACAAAGAAAAACTAGCAATTGCTGGTTTTCAGTGTCACACGATTCGAGATAAAAATCAAAACCGTTCAATGGATAAAGACCAGAATCTGGCAAATGAAAGGAGGTAAATATATAATGCAAGGACCCTCGCCAAGACTCAGGTCACAGGAACATTTCATGCAAGAAGTATCCGAAGAAATGAATTTACTCAAATTTATAGAGGTTTGTTTGGAGACGCCATGTTGGTGCCTATCCGAATGAGCACCAACATGGCGGACGAAAACCAACAGAAACATTTGTTACCGAGTTTTGCTATAAAAGCGTGAATTTATTCCTCGAGGAACTCATAAACATTACCGTAATAATAACCGAACTGTTTAGATAACAAAATTCCCCGAAACATGCCACTTTTTTTCTCTCGGCCGTCATGTAATGCCGTGTAAAGCGTGAATTTATTCCTCGAGGAACTCATAAACATTACCGTAATAATAACCGAACTGTTTAGATAGCAAAATTCCCCGAAACATGCCACTTTTTTTCTCTCGGCCGTCATGTAATGCCGCTTTACGCAAAAACTTAGAAATTAAAGCCTACTCTATCGCAAAACCAAGAACCGTTTCGAAGCGAAAGTTTGCATGAAAATAAGTTTTCAGCTGCTTTCATACATTATAAAAGTAACGTCTCCGCAGGATTGGTAGTTTTGTAGTTTGAATTTTGGTGACGTCATGTGAAAACCAACAGTAGATAATAAATTATACGGAAAACACTGCACAAAAGTACAAGCAAGATATGTTAAAATTTGCACGCACTGCGTGCCATTTTATGTCGGCCCAGGGTTTCTCTGCCAACAAACTATAAAAGATTCAATATCAAAAATGGAAAGTGTGGATTCCTTTTGTGTAGAAGTCATCATGACGGAAACGCAACATGTCAAGTCATTTCAACTGCGTGTTAACACACGTTTGCCTTGGAGTGTTGTTGTTTGTAATGGGAATCGTAGATCTTGGAGTCAATTACGCCGACTTTTGGACAGGGTTTAAAGTCTTTGCTATCGTTTGTGGAGTATGGGTAGGTAAGCTTAGATATTTTTTGCCAGTGCTGTAAGCGAAAGGAAAATAAGGTTACATATTTCAGCTTACATCACCTGTAAAGGCGAAAAAGTCCGTTCGAACCGTTTCTGGCCGTTTGTACCAGTGTGCGCTCCTGATATGGCAAGTTATGCCCTTTTCTGATTTCCATATGGCTTCATTTGCTAGCAAATTGTTACAAATAATTAGCAATTATTGGATGAGGCCGATATGATTGTAAGCGATATTGAGGATGAAACTCTCTGAGATCCGCATACGTAATTGCTGCTTTCAAGCTTCCCCCCTCTCAATCCCAATTTAAATGTAAGCCCATCTGCCCGTCAACAACCAAAAAAATGCATCCATGCATGGGGTTAAAACAGAGAAATATTTTGAATCACCAACAAGCTTGATTATTATACACTGTACTCATTATCTGTCGTCTCATTGGCTAAGAGCCTACAGATTAGTTGATAAGTTTAAGTTATCTGCTAGCAAATAACTGACTAATCTGTAGGTTGTGTGCACAGTGCATGATTTCCAGTAGCAATGATATCAATTCAGGTTTCTCACTGCAGTGTGTTTGTCATATTTTCTTCAAAACAATGTATATAATAGAACAATATTATTAGATTAGGTTTTTGTGATATCCTAAATAATCAAGGTCTCTGTAAGTGTTATCAGCCTTGCCCTTTGGCTTGACTGATAACCACTTACCTAGACTTCCAATAGTTGTTTAATCCACAAGGTGACAGTATCAGCTGTGTATAAAATTCTGAAGTGTGGGACTTCTCTCGATCATGCATGATGTCATATATATCAACACAGGCAGTCCACTCTCTTGCTTTGATTAAATATTTGAATCATTTGCCAATTTTTCAATAAAAATTAAAACAGAATGTTAAGAAAGTCATATGTTATGTTTTTTGCTATCTTGAGCTGTTAAAAAATTTCCAGGGGTTTAGCTTCAGGCGAGCTGCAGGGTGCGATGTCCAGTTGTTTGACATCTTTAAACCGTCTGTCCTCGGGATTCATACACTCTTTCTTATTGGAATTCATTTTGGAATGAACTAAAAAAACAAACTGCAAACCGATACTATTATAATAAAAAATTGCAAAAACAAATATTTCGTTGCCTCAAAAGACCTTCCCAGTTAATCAATTCCGGTCCAGGGAACACAGGAAACTGCATTTTGGAGAGTCCAATGTTAAAAACTTTCCAAGGGAAGCATGCCCCCGGACCCCCCTAGAAGTTTGTGCCTCCGACACTGACGGTATATATAAGTCTGAAAGCTGAACCTCGACTACATCCAGTACTTTCAAGTACTATCGAAAACCCGATTGGCATTTTGAGAGATCTCTTTTATGGCTAGCCAATTTTAGAAGGAGAACAACGAATGCAGACAGCTGAATGGGTTATCAATCATTGCAAAATGTGACCATATAAACTGGCACCCACATTCCAGACCTTAGTTCTAAAGACCCACTAAAGTCACACCCTGCTAGAAAATATAGGGCTAACCCTTTAGCCCCAATATCCACATACAAATTCTCCAAACTGGTCTCTATATATTTCCTTCATGAGTGAGTTGAGAGAATTTGATAAAAGATCAAAGCATTTTCCCTTAGTTGGTCATTTTATTAATTCTGATAACCTAATCTCTTGACATTGTATAGATCTCGGTAGGAGAAAATTGATGTTAGTCACTATTGGGACTCACACACATGTGAGTTAATACATATCAATTTTTTTGACAGATGTGTATCGCAGGACGAATTCTAGCAAGAAACCGCGAGGGGACATCTTGTGGGCGCAAGGGCTTGGTAGGTTGAACTAGTAAGAATAATTTTTCTAGAGTGTTCAACTTTTCAGGACGATCTGGAATGACATTTAATTATAATGGAAAATGTTGCTCCAGGCTTCAGAGGCCATTTCATTGCTTTATTGTTACAGCTCCGTTTCAGATGATCAAAAGGCGACCAGTACACATTCATGCTAAAGTGGTTGGAGACAATAAGAAATAGCAAAATATTTTGAGTGAATAATAATAGGCAATATACCATTGAATCAATGGTGTATATTGCTTTTAACATCAGGTGTTGATCTAGGATTATTGTACTGACCAATTTCCTAAACTGGCATCCAAGGTATGCTTCCCCTAAAGTCCCCTCTGCTGGGTAATCTGAGTCATTCAGACAGGATAATGAAGTATAGTTACATTCATGATTATTGAAAATAGAGTGCTATGATTGGCTAGGAGCTTTGCTTCATCCCGCTATAATCACCTCTTGGCGATATAACATTGAAGGCTAGCAGTTTTCAAAAGGGCAGCCAGTTTTGTTGATCCTTTGGAGTCGGAAATTGATCAATAATAATATTTTCTCAAATAATCATCAATGCTTTTTATCATCAATAGTCTCGGTGACTATTCACCAATATTCACGTCACCTTCGGCGACTAATTGATAAATATACCATTGAATCAATGGTGAATACTGCTTTTAATATCAAGCACGGATCTAGGATAAATACTGACCAATTTCCTAAACTAGCACCAAAGGTGCATTTGCTTTTAGGGGCATCCAGGATATTCTCCCCCTAAAATCCCCTTTCCTGGGTTTCTGAGTCATTCAGACAGGATAATGGCCAGTTCCATTCTTCTCGGATGAAGCCTTGCAACTTAGAAAGTATTTACTTATTAACAATATATCTATTATGAAAAATCTGATCGATTTGCGTAAAATGGTGGAAACCGATGTGGATCCACGCCTGCAAATATGGTAAGCACCTTGTGTTAGTCTCTGTACGGTGTTTTCCCAGTCCCTATCGGTCAATTCGTTTTGCTGACGTATCCGAGGTGAACAGGCGGGAAACGCCTCACATTTCGCTGGGACCACGTGACCCGAAACGCTTTGGCCGTGCGGAATAATGAGGCCTAGGGACTAGACAAGTAAGCACCAATTGCTTGTGAAGAACTAGCTAGGGGATTTGAGCTAATCAGAAATGGCAGAATATTTTGAATGAATTATAATAACGATGAGATGATTTATTGACCACCTGATTTTTAAATTAATAGTAAAAGTTTTTTTTTTTTTTTATTTCCAGACAGGTTTATTTATTACCTCAAGTTTGTGTGGTGTTGCAGTTTGTGGTTGCTACATCGTTTTACTTTTAATCCTGAGTTTTTGTTCATATAATGAATACTCTTGTGGACTACAAAGGCTTGTTGCAGCTATTGTTCTCGTACTTAGCATTGTTCAGTGTATTACAGGATTCAGTGGTTGTTACTGCGTAATTACTTCATCTTCTAGTCAGGTGATAACAAATATTAAAACTAGTGTTTGCAACTTTATTCCCAGAGAATCTATAATTTTTTTCTACAGTCTGGATAATACAGTGTATGTTTGCAGTTTACTCTAGAAGTTAAAGATAAAAGTAATCTTAATTGAAGTGATTTGTTTTATGTCTGGGTAATATTTTCCATACATTTTTACCAGGCTGATCGAATTTTTAGCCCTTTCACCGTTCCTTCTGGCAACGCCCAGATGGTGCCTACATGTATGCCGCCTCGAAGTGTTTTCCAGAATAACGACTGGCCTCCACCCTATGGTGCTGGTTCCCAAGGCCCTGATCTTCTTCTTGTCCCCTTGGAGATTACTCCCATGTCTCTTCAAAGTATTGTTCAGCAAAACGACCGGCCTCCACCTTATACTGTCGACGCCCAGACTTGCTCCCAGGGTTCTGATCTTCTACTCGTTCCCTTGGAGATGACTCCTATGCCTCCACAGGAAACTGGACCTCCTCCACCATATCACCAAATTTCCAGAACAGAGTCTGCCATATCGAGCTTTCATGATGGACATCAGCCCCCTGCCTATGTCTGCACAGATGAACAAGTAAGAGCAGATCTTTTTGCTTTGTTTAGGAAGCTAAAACACTATGTGAATATTCATGACCTTGTTGTGGGTCACTGAACACTTTGTGATGCGAAGACTATTAAAGTCAGACAATGAAAATAAATGTTTTTGTATTGGAAAGCTCGCTCTTAAGCCATTGCAAATCGGAGAAATCATTTCAAATAACAAAATAATGCAATTTTCTTACTGTTACTGGAACATAATTGAGAAAAAAGCCGACAGCAAAACGACCTTATTTCACGATGGAATCTGCAATGGCTGCGATATTGCGTGATGCTTCTGAAAAAATGCGTCATGGGATATTATTCGATCGTCGTCTGGATTCGCTTACTAAATTGTGGACTTAAGACTTAGGTTGGACTTGGACTTTAGATTTAGTTTTTTTTATGATTTCACATACTTACAGTGTAACTTAAAGTTGATTTTAGGCTTTTTCATGTACAGTTGATTGGTCACCTTAATTTTGTTTACTTAATTTTGTTTCTCAAACACAATTTAAAGGTATTCCACATTGTCTTTGGCGTAAAATAAAACGTCAGTTTTTGAAAAACTTTATATTAATTCTGTTTGTCTTAATAAATTCACTATAATTCTCTCTTTAAAAATTCAAGATCGCTACGTTTCATTTCCCAGGATCCTTAAGAAAACTTGCATAATTATGCTCTATTCCCAAAACCCACACCACTGAAAAGAGTAGGGGACGTAGACCCCGGTGTTGTGGTCAACCTTCACTCATCACATCATTCACATCATGGGTTGGGTGGGTATAGTAAGCTCAAAAATAGACTGAGAGCGGCTGCCAGTGGCGCTTTTGTACGCTGACGTCCGAGCTTACTGTTTACATGTTAAAATGTATTGTAAGAGGGCACGTCTGTTTTCCTCTCACCCACTACTCTTCATCATTCATTCTTTCAAGGTAAAATACGGCCAGGCTTGAGTCGATACTGTTGATTCAGAAGCAGTCGAACCCCAATTTACGGACTCCTCGTTAGTACGGAAAGTTTTCTTTTCCTCCGGAGAAGCCCTTACAGTTTCTCTAAATTCAGCCCGCTGGCGCATACCCGTCAATGCAGAGAACGCATACTTGTTGCTCTCCCAATCAACAGATTCTCATCGAAGGTTAACCTCGCTAATGCGGACACTTTGTTCTCAAAAATATGCTGAAAATTTACAGGAAGATCTTTTCTTTTTTGATGGTAAAGAAAAAACCTTTAGCTTACAGCATGTTGATGTTCCCAGCGGTAAAGTGCACCGGATAGGATGATTTATAGAGCCAAATTGAATTTCAGACTATTTTGGCATCAAACGCGTTATGCAGATAACGGTTTTGCATATTATAAGTAATATATGGATGAGCGATTTTCGAGTGTTTCCGTGTGATTAATCCACTGAATGACGGTTTTGTGAAGGTTAGAAATATTTTAATGTCCGCTTTCATTTCTTTAATTTGAATTTTTTTCTAATATAAGGCTTTGTTTTACAGTTTTACTTGAATAACATGACCCTCTCAATACGGACACACTGTTAATTCAGTGTCCGTATATTAACGGGGTTTGACTGCACTAAATCTTACTTGCATTCTTTCTTTTTCCTAGCATCGTGTAACTACTTACGTGTGAAGTTGGAGACTCCTGCCAGTTCTCAACTAACAACTAATCTTCATCATCTACTAATGCATTTCGTAACCTGATGCGTAATCACAAGAAAAATGTAAAAGTAACGTAGGAACCTTGAAAAGTCTTTTCAAGAAAGGCAAGCCAGCAAAAGAGCGTGGCGAAATATTAATTATGTTTGTACTTAATTAGTTTTTAGGGCTAGGAACTTGAACGCGAAAGTGGCGTGCTGGCTGCGTCCTGGGTTCCTGACGCGTAACAATCCCCAAAGACACAAAATAATTTGATGAATGCGTCCCGTAGGACGCAAAGATCGATCGATCGATCGATTTGAAAATGTCTTTGTAGAAAATCCTGTTCTTGTAATTATTTATTTGTGGCTATTTATGTGGTTGTTATTTATTTTAGTCCCCTTATTTTTGCTGTTAGGACTATATATCAATTTCAGTAAACTGTGATAAAGAGGTTTGGAGTCTGTCTTCATATTCTGTAACTGCCTGGTTACATACGACCCAAGCATTTTCAATGTAGAACTCGTTGTTTTTTGAACTGGAACTCAATGGTTCTGGACTGGGACTCATGATTTTTCACAAGATGAGTCCCATGACTCACCATAACTACTTCTAACAAAATCACTGTAACTGTTTCTTAGTATAAGAGTGGCACATGCACTTGGATGAAGCAGAAGATTATAGGGAAAAGAGGGGGATAGGGCTATTTTGGAGAAAAACGAAAAGACCTCGACCAACTCGTGAGTTCTCAAGTTTTAATGCACATGTTGGGGAACACGTGAAGCAGGGTTCATATAACAGTTCCAGGGGTACGTATTTTTTACTAAATAGTGCATACCTACTCTGCGCCTCACTTAATTCTCTCTATATTCCCCTCAGTGTTTTACCTGTAGTTGAAATAAGCGCCGCTCTCGTATAGGCACCGCACCTATAACTGGGAAAGTGGAATTAACGCCTTGGCGCTTAATCGATCATTTATGGTACCCCCTTGGGAGGCACATACCCAGTGGCGGATCCAGGGGACAGGGGAAGGGCCCAAGCCCCCCTTATTTTTGGACCAAACTGAGGCCCGAAGGGCCGAAAAAAATTTTGGTGACCGGGTTTGGCAGTACGTTGAATGTAACACAATTTTAAAGGTATTTACAGTATTACTCCGGCAAAGTCTCGTACGTTTTTACGGGAGTATAATTTTCCGAATATAGTATTATAAAGTTTTCAAATCAGTGTCTATGAGCCACTGAACCTGGAAAACGTTTGATATAAATGAAAGTTTTCGGCTTTTATATGGCTTAAACATTTTTTAGAGTATAGTCAACTTTAATTCTCCTAGACGGACACCTTCGGGACCGGCCCTGACTGTGCGTCTTAGAGAGGTGTTCGGCTTATTATAGAGAGTCGAAGTATCGTGAAACCAGTAATTATACAGGTGAGCCTATTTGCAATGAATACACGTCGGCTAAACTTGTAAAAAAACATCTAGAACTGAAAACTTGTAACAGAAAAGTTGAATTATTTTCTCACTGTGCAATCAAACGTTCACTACAAGCAAACGTTCACGGCTTCATGGTCTAAAAGCGTAACAGTATACACTGCGAACTGGAGCACGACAACAAAGTATCAAGCATTTTGCAATTTACTATCATGTAGAGCACTTAAATTTCCGTTTTGAGGTGCTTTTCACCCGGGGGTGGGGGTACTGCCATATATGGCCTATATAGGTATGTGCCGCTGTGAAGGGTATGGTTTTCAAGCAGTTTACTCTAGGATAGGGTATATAAATCAGAACATTTGGGTCTAGAATAGGGTATCATTTTTCAGGAAACTGATCAGTTGGTTGAAGATTTTATCTAGACTAGGGAAACAGCTACTCTAGGATAGGGGGATTTGGGGAGTTTACTCTAGTATAGGGTAGCAAAATTTAGCTGAACTAGCTCTGGTATAGGTTAAGGGTTCCAGGGTCCCAGCGGCTCATCCCCACCGAAAAATTCCTAACGTACCCTCCCCCCCCCCCGGGGGGGGGGGTTCACAACAAAAAACACTTGCCAATTGTCCGTTAACGGTTTCAAAAATGTCCGTTGTCCGTTTTCAGTAGATAGGTGTCCGTCTTATAGGGAGTAGAGTTACTTTAAAATGACTGAAAAACGGCAGGGACCAACACCAGGTGTCCGTCTTCTGAGAGATGTCTGTCTTATAGATGTGTCCGTTAAGAGAGAGTTGGCTGTGAGTCTTTGATACTAGATGTTAAAAACTGGCGAGTAGGTATTGGGCACGTGCTACATCATAGTTAAACGTATATGAGAGTGATATGAATCTATTAAAGAAACAGCAAGAAAAATAGGCGCTCGAGAATTGCATGTGGCTACTGCTGCTGAAGGGTAAAGTGCAAATGGTAGAATGTTGCTACATATGCGATGTCCTTATGTTGATATTCGTTCAAGCCCATACGTATATTATACACAGGCAACTCATACTATTTCACATTAACAGTTCTTGAGTCGCAGGCGTTCAGGTATATGTACATGTGACCCTCTTTGGATACCGTGGTTTTAAACAATTATTTTAATGGACCTCGGGGGTTTCCTATAAGTGCTTTCAAATAAATGTTTCCATATGCTGTTCATAAAAGAGCACGTAACGGTTAGTATATGTACTACGAGCTATTAAATACAGAATACAGGCGTTTACGGCTAAATTAAACTGGCTTTAGAACGCGCTTTTGCTAAACACTAGCTAAAAATTATTTTAATACATGTAAACGGACTGAGCTCGAGGCTGTACGTGCTCTGACGAAGGTAAGTAATTTACCGCAGTCGAAGTATCCTATTGCCCTTCTGTACTTGAGTATTCTAGAAACTTGTTTTTTTCCAGCGTAGCATTTCCTGTAGAAATTACATTAATCGCACTGATAAATGGAATCACCGACAAACAGCCTACTGGGCAAAGATCACCTTTTTAATAGTAATAAACTACAATAGATAATAATAATACACTACAATAGATACTCCTCAACGTCACTTTAATGGAGGACCGTTTTTCGGCAGCTAAGGCTCTTTGGTTTATTATTCGCTTTTCGCTGAGCGAAATCCCATCGTCAGGCTGCCGTAGCTCTTTCACACTCCGAGAACAGTTGCTGTTCGTCAAAAAAAAAAAACAATGATGCATGCATCATTATTTCAACGTCCTTTTAACAACTCCAAGTCCATTTCTTGCCGATGATATTGTCAGTGTTCTTTAGAATATTTCCATTTATACAAAACCCATCTTCGGCTAGGCTGGATAGACTATGATGTGTCGGGAAAAAATGTACGCCTTACTAGTACCCTCTAGAATATGCCAAACATATGCGTAAAAGGCACTTGGAACAAAAGTAATACTAAGTAAGAGAGGTAAGGGTGAAGTGTTTAATCTGACTTAAATGAATATATTTATGACAATCGAGTGAGTGAGTGAGTGAGTGATCGAGTGCCATTCGAGTGCCTCCAAAAGCCCTTGGCATGACTACGTCATCCATGAGCTAAAAATGGAAGCCGTGGATTCCTTTGGAAAAATTTGTTTTGCGTAGAAGTCATTATCCGGCGGAAACGCAACATGTCTATTCATTTCAAATGCGCCTTAACACACGTTGTCTTTGGAGTGTTGTTAATTGCAATCGGAATCGTAGATGTTAGACTCAATTACGGCAAGATTTGGTCAGGGCCTAGCGGATTCTTTGTTATCTTTTGTGGAGTATGGGTAGGTAAGCTTAGCCATTTTGTGCTGTAAACGAAAGGAAAATAAGGTTACATATTTCAGCTTACATCACGTGTAAAGGCGAAAAAGTACGTTCAGAACCGTTTCTGGCCGTTTATGCCCTTTTCTGATTTGCGTATGGCTTCAAGTTTTCCTCATTCTTTGCTAGCAAATTGTTACAAATAATTAGCAATTATTGGATAAGGCCGATATGATTTTAAGCAATATTGAGGATGAAACCCTCTGAGGTCTGCATGCGTAAATTGCTGCTTTTAAGCTTCTACCTTCGCCCCCCTCCCAATCCCAATTTAAATGCCCGTCAACAACCAAACAAATGCATCCATGCATGGGGTTAAATTTAGCTAATCAGAACAGAGAAATATTTTGAATCACTAACACAAGCTTGGTTATTATATACACAGTACTCCTTATCTGTCATCTCATTGGCTAAGAGCCTACGGTTAATTTTCATTGGAAATCAGCGCATTACCTACAGATTAGTTGATAAGTTAGTTATCTGCTAGCAAATAACTGACTAATCTGTAGGTTGAGTGCACAATGCATGATTTCCAGTAGCAATTATATCAATTCATGTCCCTTAATTACCACAGTGTGTTTGTAATGTTTTCTTCAAAACAATGTACCTAATAGAACAATATTATTAGATTAGGTTTTCGTGATGTCCTAAATAATCAAGGTCTTTGAAAGTGTTATCAGCCTTGCCCTTCGGCTTGGTTGATAACCACTTACCTAGAATTCGATTATTCTGGATATCACAAAACCTCATCTAATAGTTGTTTAACACTGGACCCGCAAGGTGACGGTATCAGCTGCGTATAGAATTCTGAAGTGTGGGACTTCTCTCGATCACGCATGATGTCATACATCAACACAGGTAGTCCACCCTCTGTTTTGATTAAATATTTGAATCATTTGCCAATTTTTCAATAAAAATGAAAACAGAATGTTAAGTAAGTCATGTGTTATGTTTTTTGCTATCTTGAGCTGTTTAAAAATTTCCAGGGGTTTAATTAGCGCCAGATGCAGGATGCGAAGTCCAGTTGTTTGATATGTAATGTCCATCTGTAAAACATCTGTCCTCGGGGATTCGTACACTCTTTCTTATTGGAATTCATTTTGGAATCAACTAAAAAAACAAACTGCGAATGGATAATATTATAATTATAATAAATTACAAAAACAAATATTGCATTGTTTGTGAGCATTTCTTAATGCCTTAAAAGACCTTCCCAGTTAGCCAATTCCGGTCCAGGGAACGCAGGAAATTGCATTTTGGAGAGTCCAGTTTTAAAACTTTCCAAGGGAAGCATGCCCCAGGACCCCCCTAAAGGTTTGTGCCTCTGATACTTACAGTAC